TCAATAAAACAAATTAACTGCCAAATGAAATACATAAATTTGAACGGTTTAGTTAATTATTAATCGTTTGGCAGACTTACCTGGGCAAGTCAGCATTTGGAGGCTAATATGACGCGAGGAGTGAGCTTTTTGCGTATATGAAATAAATACGTTATATATTCATGTATAAGAGCCGAGCATTAATTTGATGCAAGAAAAATGAGGAGTATCTAGGATAAGAAAATAAGAAACATACGAGAGATAAGGATGACGGGATGCCGAAGGAAATGAGGGTAAAAGGGATGGTGAGGGCGTCATCACACTCGTATTGAACGTGCATAGACTTGGCGGGAACGCGCTTGCGCGCCTTTCGAATCGCCACATTGTGGACAATAAACTATAAAATATACATCAATATGATTTATTTTTTTCTAATAAAGGATTCAACTCCTATACACATAGTCATAATACATAATGTATAATGCTCTCAGTTAGTGCCAAGAATCGAAGATACATAATGAGGGTTGTGCCCTCATAGAGAAGAAAATTTTATTCATTCAAACTTTTATAACAGAAATAAAGTGAATTATTTTTTATTAGATGCCTTTTGACGAGAATTTAAAAAGTCGTATACACGTACTTTTATCATGAATCATCATGATTTATGAACCAATTGGTAAAAAAATTGTGTCGGAGGAGTGTGCGACCTATGACACGAGCTGAATCCTTTGCTGGAAGCGATATAGTGCATTAAACGACATAGCAACGTCGTTGACACACAATATAAAATTATATAAAGAAGAATAAAAAAGAATAAATGTAATACACGAGAATTTTGTTGAGTGTCACTGAGATAGAATGAAAGAAGCTATATAGAATGCCTGCATGCCTGCACCTATTCTATAAAATTCTAGTGGACTGGATGATCGATGGGCTCGTGAAGATGCTTTCGAAAGAAGGGGCGCACGAAACAGCTTTTTTATGTATATATAAACTTCAATTCACTCAAAAACAAAATAATTATATTTTATATATATTCGCTGCATGCGATAAACGAGAACTATCCTACTATTGCGCTCTCTACATTTGGCAAAGGGTTTTATTATTTATATATACTTATTTATGTATATATATATATATAGACACAAGAGATGAATTCGCGTGTTTTGTTATTCTTTATACAACAATTGTTGACTTTAATCACTGCCCACGGCTACGTAAGCACAGGGCTTTTATATACTTACCATCTTGATGTCACTAATTGTCGCAATGCTTCGGACAAACAGGTTTACCCGGACAGTGGCCGGCCCATCTAAGGGCAAAAACAATACAGCCCCTTTTTAATCAAACTTCAACACAAGCTATTCATTCGACTTTTGCCTATTGCATTTTTATTTTTTTTATTTTTGCCTTTAGAAAAAAAAATTTTTTTCTTTGATCAAACTAGTGTCATTATTTTTATTTTTATTGCCAATTTAAAGTGGCTATTAGCCTTCTCTAAAAATTTCTCCTCGACTATTTAGTATGGGAAAATAAATTCCATAATAACAAGGATCAAATGGCATGTATTTGGAGATTAAACAAGTAAATATAGGAAGATATTGCAAATTAAATTACATGAATTTAATCGATTGAATTGTAATTAAAATTTTTACTACATACCTCAGTACATGATAGTTTATTTATTTATTTGAGCATTTTTCTTACCCTTGCGTGTACGTGCATGGATGGATATATCTAGTGTATATTTTCAAGTATATTTATTTTATCGTTTCTTCTTCCTTTATAGACTTTAAGGAAGTGGGTCAATTGAGTGCTAGTGCTAAATTATTCAAGGTTGCAGGTAAATTTATCACCACGATTTTCAACTGTATTCCACTTGTTAAATTTTTTTTTCTTATTTGAACGGATATTTTTTTAAATATAAACGATTGAATACACTTAATATGAATTTTAAATTTAGAATGTAAATATATATATATATATATATATCTATTAATAAAAAAAACCGACATATCTTTTGTCTTGAATGATATTACAAAAGATAAAAGTAGAAGAGATCGACGAGTTCAATTCAGTATCAATCTACACCCTCTCAAGTATACGTAATAAGTTAGTGAGAGCTGAGTGTGACAAAGAGTTGGACGCGACGAAACGATATAATCGCTGGCATAGTTATGTCGACTTAATTGCATTCATCTACTGATAAAATCTTTTAGATTCCTTCAAAGCTGATAAACTCCTTCATACCTTATCTCTCACTCTCTCAATTATATCACGTAATATTTTCATTTAGACTAATTAATTATTCGATTGTTATTATAAATGCGATTGCTCAATTTGCATGTAAATGAAAAATATAATTTTCTTGAATAAAAAAAAAAAAAAAAACTATTTTTTTCTCTCTTTTTAAGTAAAGTGTTGACCCGACGAATGGCGTTCTTTTTATCAAGGCACCGGCTAATGAGGAAGAAAAACGTAGCAGAAGAGAGCTGCCTAATTTACGCTATTTTTTACTTCTCTACAAATATAATTAGTTTTATACGATCTTATTGCCCTTATGAGAAAGTTGCTAAAGTTAAAATTTTGTTTACTTTAATCAATAAAATTCTATTAAATTTTTATATTTTTTTTTTTTTTTAATTTGAATGTAAATATTAACATCATTTTAATTCGATAATTTATTAATAAATTGATATAAATTAGACGAAATGTATTTTCCACGAGAGCTTTTATTTCGTTGAACAAAAAAACAATCCATCAAATTTTTTAATTGAGAACAGTTAAATGACATTATAAAATTATTTAAAAGCCGATGCAATACTGGCAAGTCTTGTTTAATAGCGAAGAAATGGACGTGTAAATACAAGCTTGATATAGGAATTCAATAAAAAGCTTTTAATTGACTTTACATTACTTAGAAAAAGGAATAAAGAAAGTTTTGTTAAGCTTTTACAATCACTGTATAAAAGGAAAATCGTTATTCTATTTACTCTTAAGAGGTAATTTAAAATGGTTATTTACCAATTTAACCACTCATATATACATACATTTATAGTTGTATATATGTATAATAAAATAGATGATAAAAAGTATCTCTGAAAAATGGTGAAACTTATGTATAAAAATATTAACAAAATTTCGAATAAACTCTTGAGAATTCATGTGGCAAATATAAAATTTATAAAGTAACTACTGCGCATTTTCTGCTTGACTGTAATCTAGATTTACACGGAAACTTACTGGTACCTTAAATTTATTCCGTGTAGAAATGTCATACATATACTAAAGGGAAAACAGTTTCACTAAAAATGTGCCAGTCATAACTTTTACATATATAAGAAATGCCTATACATGTACTGGTAAAATATTCCAGTGATATTTTACGTAAGGTAAAAATCTCACGGTTCATAAAATTGAAAAATTCATATGGAAAGTAGCACATTATCCGTAAATGTGGCTAAAAAAGAGAAGTTTAAGATTTTTGTTAAATATCTTAATGACAATTTGATTATGAATAATAAATTTTGGTAGTCGTATAAATTTAATTGGCGCCCAAAACTACAGGCTGTTCCTGTGATTAGTGAGTAAAGTAACGAAGTGGGAAGTTGCTTAACTGACAATTAAATTCCAATCACTGCGCAAAATGGTTTCAAGTCGTGATAATTAAACTCTACTTCTACCAAAGTTGTCGAGTATACCAATTTTTCGTCTACATTCACTGACAGAGCCAATTACAATAGTCATACAGAAGAAAATTTACAACTAGAAATCATCAGAGTAATTTAGTTGAAGGCATGAAAAAATAAAAAATATTTTTTTGTCAATGAACCAAAATAGTTGGTGAGCTATCACTTCTCGTAAACGAGGAACATTGTAATTTTACACCATTTTGGTATATGTATACAGAGGGTTTTTCATAGCGTTATATTTACTCATAATTTGCAAGGGAAATGTATGGCACGACGTGGCACGAACAATATCCTCGGGATCTGTTGGGCACCCGAGGGTGCTCGATAAAGGTGAGACACGTTTTTAGTACGCGACTCGCATCCACACTCTCTCACTCTCTTTTGCTCACTCTTTCTCCCTCTCTTTTGTTCTATTCCTCTTCCTATTTCATTTACGACAACACGCGTTTTGTTATACCCGTTTGTGCATTTAACTCTTGAAATTTATCCTCCAATTTTATGCGGAATACCAATGCCTCCAATTAAAGTAATTTATGAACGATAAAACTCTATTTAAATTTAGTTCAAAGTCCCGTAATACTACCTACAGCAGAAGTATGGTTACCGATCTGTGTGGTCTATTACAATCTAAAATCTCGCGTGATTACGGCCACTTTTCTATTCGCAAAATTATCTATTTTCTTGAGCCATCAGCACGTTAAATCATCTTCTATTTTATTCAACTTTTATTATTTTCATTTGTCTGATAATATCAATGTGCCGAATCTCATCACATACCAATAAGCTATTTGTCGCATGCAAACAAAACATTTGGATTAAGCTTGTCTTTCTGTTTCGCGCGTAGAAGCGAAAAAAACGTTGATGACCGACGTGTCCTAGATCGTCGTTCGTGAATGTTCTTTTTTATACTTCAGTACGTGCAATATTCCTCGATTACGCAACACAATTCAAACCTCAAATTCATTCCCAAATTCCCAGAAAGAATTTTCTCGTCTCTTTTTCTACACTTTTTTTTCCTCACCTCATTACTTTTTTTTAAACATTCCAATAAATCAACCCCATCGGATTATGTTCAACTTTGTCAAACAGATAACTCTTAATCGATCCAGAACATTTTTGTCAATTGTTTCGAATTCTTTTTATTCTTCTTATCATCATCATCATCATCATCATCATCTTTAAGTTATTATAACATTTCAACTCCATGATGTCGATAAAATATTAATATATAAAATATTATAAAATAAAAATCAACTTTTTTAGACGATAGTGTAAGAGGAAGATTATCTTGGAGCTAGGATTATTTAAATTAGGATATATTATATTTACCTGTCCCGTTCTCTCCACTTGGACGAATACGTGCATCGTATTTTTTCTCCCCTAGAATGTCGTCCAGGACTTCCTTCTCCTTCTCCCGAAAGTTGACCTTTCCCCCCTGCGAGCATCTGAAATATGAAAACAACATTATACAGGTATGATGATATTATTATCATTACACAAGGTGTCACGTGTCACGGTAATGTAGAATAGCACTAGTTTCCATCTTCTTCAGCACTTGACTATAATCTTGAAGCTAGTCTAGCATCTTCTATGAATTGTAAACGAGTCTAAACGTGACGAGAATTTTTAGTTTATCTTCAACTACCATTTTATAGTTATGCAGATACATACAACAACGGTTGTCTTGTTGCATTACAAATACTTTAATCCATCAGCACCAATTTACACAGGAAATATATCAAAATAAAACCAAGTCTTCACATACTTTTTCGAAGCTTTAAGGATTATTTAACGATAGATCAACCAGCGAGTAGCTCTAGTATAAAGAGCTCTTACAGAATTAAATCATTCAATCACTTGAATATTAGTAGAAAGTAGCTCTCAAGTTATTCAAACTATAAAATTTACCGGGAAGCTTTTATAATGCTTAATTATATCTGCCGGAGATGTCAAAGATGAACAGAATAAACTTGGGATAAAGTTGAAAAAGCTTTTCAACGAGCCGAGAGTTTTACTCTTGACTTTCTTCACGTTGTTATCGGACATTTTCCGGCCGCTTGCTAATAACAAGCACAACGACTTTATAACTGCTTTAATGAACCTTATACCAGTGCTGCATTGATAGCCATAGCCTTATGCATTTCATTTCATCCCCTCCTATAATTACTTTTATGTCAAACACGAGTTGGTCGATGATGATAACAATCTCCATGACAATCTACTAGGAATCATTACTGAGTGATGTCAATAAAGTATCTGTCGTTGTAATACTGGTGCTACTAGCGCAATTCTATACTCTGTCAATAATAATACAAGGGATATAGACAAACAATCGTATCGTAAAGAAGATGACAAGTGTCAGAGGTGTGAGTCTGGCAGAAAAAGGCCGCAGGAGAACCGCAAAGACGTTAATGAGGTCACAGTGGTGCAATGTAAATGAAAGACGAGATCCACCAAGTATCTCACTGACACATCGTCATATGTGTGTTATTTCTCAATGTAGTCTGCTTTTCCTCGAGGTGTGCAAATACGTATGTGCCACCTACAATCTCGTTTTTTTTTATTTTCTATATAAAGTAGCATCAATATAAAATGTACGCGGTCTTTTTCAAAGAAAATATCATCAACGTGACGACATTAAGACTCCATTGTATATTAAAACCTTTAAAAATGTTAGTAAAACGTAAATTGAAAAAACTCTAAGAAGGTAGGATAATACTAAACATGTTTTTTTCAAAAGAAAACTTGTCGAAATTTAATAAATACAGCAATGCCCAGTCATCTTCTCCTATCTTTGTAAGCAAATCACTTATACCCTTCGTACACATTTTTTATGTATGCATGTAAATATGAATATATCTGTATATATTTTTTGTTCATTAAGGACATATTTTCATGCACGTTTGATCAGCAGCTCGTGAATTTTTGGAGTATTACTGCTACTGCTGTCTTGAAAATGACGATGCACTTTTTTCAAACAACTCCGTTTTCTTGACAAATATTCCACCACATTCAGTATACTTGAAGTTGTAGTTATTAAAAAAAAACTCAAAAGTGACACAAAAGATATTCTACAAAGGCTATTCTACCATCCTTTCTTGACAAATATCTTCACAATAAATTCTATTTATACCTATTTATTTCAACAATAATTAACCAACTTCCATTCACCAAGATAACAATGATAACTTGCGTTAAGTGAATTTTGATTAATAGACTTGACAAAAAGATTTACCATTTAAATGAAATAAAATACTCATTCAAATCAATTATTCCAGTGGTTTTATAGTGAAGATGTTTGTGGGTTTATAGAATTTTATCAGAGATAGATCAATGATAACTAATTAATTGATCATGGACATTTGAAGAAATAACTGATCCTTTGACATTTTTTTCAGATCAACTGGTATTGAAATAGACCATCAATACTCTTTTATAATCAATAGTGAAATGATGGTAGTAATTTATTGACTTGTCTTTTTTTCTTTTAATTAACAAAAATTAATAACCAGTTTATTTATTTTTAGAACTTTAAATGAAAATAATTTCATCAATTTTTCCATGGTTATATTTCTTAATATTTTTGGTAGTGAAGACACTAATATGCCATACTTTTGAAAGGAATTTAGTCTGGTATTTCTGGAGTTTATGAAATTCTCCTACTGAGGTAATAATCTGATATGAAATATTTTAACTCAAAGTTATCTTCAAAAGGTTAATTACCCCACCATAATTCTGACTAAAAATCACATCTTCAGAAGAGAATAAATTTTTATAAGTCACGAAATAATATTCAAGTTTGAATGAAGGAAATAAAAAAGCAAGAGTTTTATGTCTAATTGATGGAGGATTACTTCAATCTACATTTCCTTACAATTTGACTTACAATTAGTCAAGAAAGCTTATTTAGATTCATGAAATGTTCGTTGACTAGCGAGAAATTTGTCAAGAATGCCTAGCATGATGATTTATGAACTGCTAAACACATACTTGCTAATATAATATACAAAGCGAAATTACAATGAACGATTTTAGTATTTATGATCTATATGTGACAATAAACTTCTCTATACACCAAGGGTTCATTATTGTCTAATCACTCATAAGTTATTAAGTTGAACGAGTATATAATACACTTTCAAAATATATTAGCTGCTATGGAACTAAGACCCTTACTCTGAGACTACCATTAAACTTTGAATGCATTGGTTAAAACACTTAGGTTGTTATAAACCAATACCTGAGAAATAGTTGCTTCTAATACCTCGTCTTTACAAAGTTGAGTTAATATTCTTGTAAGGAGAGAATAAAGCAACGTACTGTTACTGCCTGTGTCTGACAATTTATTTTCAATAGAAAGGTGATCGATTATATTGCGAGAAAAAGATGGAATGAAAATCAAAGAATGTCGTCATATTTTAAAAGATTCGAAAGAAAAGAAAATAAGACTACATCCTTTTATTGCAAATGGTGATAACAGGTTACATTCTACCGAAATATTTAAACTGGTCTACAGCCTGAGGCTGATTTTTAATGAGAAACCGTTTCTTTTGCTCACCTTTTACTACAGTCTACCATAAAGTTGGAAAGCAACAGAGAGAGTAGAAGAGGGAAAAGGCGAGACCATAAGGGTTGTAGAGAACTATTCAAACTCTTGGACTTTAGTTTATGCCGTGCGCTGACTTGATTCAAACTCTCGTCAAATTCATGAATAAATTCCAGACTTGGTTTTCTTGACATTCTGGACTAAAAATAAGAAGAAAAATCTATAATAACAATCTGCCATCAGAAACATTGTTCATCTTGATATAGGATCAGCCGAAAAAGAAATTGACTTCTAATGTTGATGTATAGAAAATTGAAATGTAGTTGAAGATATCAATTTATCTAGATTATTTTCTAGAGAGACCTTTGGATATAACGGTAATCTAGAAAAGTGCATCTACAAATAAATGCATCATGTATGTAGATAAAAATATATGTAATATATATATATAACAATAGGAAATGAAAAAGAGTATATGTTTACAAAACTCATCAGTTCGCATATTATGAGAGTCTGTAGTAAAGCTTGTCACTGCTTTACTCCACTTGACAAGGCTTAACTACCACAGTTTGAAATTGCGAACAAGAAAATACAGGTGGGAAAAGCATCCTCGATCAACAAGTGTCGCGAGTGAATGTTTAATTTCCATACACCAACTACACGAAAATATAAGCGTCTCTCACGCGATTTACCTTTTATTGCAATCAGTTTCAACTAATAAAATTCATTTACCTTACACCTTTTCTCTTTTACGTTTTGTCTGTTTAAGTATTCTGATTTAATGTCCTACATAAATATGATGAATCGCATAAGTAAATTAAAAGATAACATTTATACTGTCATGATAGAGCCCAACAAGAGAGAAATAAAAAGTTGCTATTTTTAATCACCATTTCTCATTAATAATTACATTTTCCTTAGTTTTATAATACATCTTAATTGTCCATTATTATGTCAAGAAGGACGACAATGAGTTATTTCGAAAAAACTAATTATGAAAATTTTAATTTTAAATTTGTCATCAATTTTACTTACTTTTAACTAAAAAATCTGTCATAATATTTTAACAAAAAATAATATCACTATTAATATTATAAAACTAGACAAAAATCAATATCACCAGAGGACAAAAAAAAACTTGGCTTCTACTAAATGGCGACTTCTGGATGTGAAAAGGAAAGAAAATTATTATAAAATCAGCTTTTACCAGAACCAACAAGAAAATTAACCAGGTCTAGTTCAACCAAACTCAAACAGAGTTAAATAGAATTTTTAACCAGTCATTTTCTTCTACAGATTAATTAATATAATTACAAACAAATGAAAATGTTTATTTCATTAAGTTATATAGTAGATAATGGAATGATTCTATACAACCAATAAAAAATTTTAGAATTTAATGAATCAATGAAAAAAGATAGGTTAAAAATCACTCACCTTGAAGGATGCAGCAGGGATATCAGTAGCACTACCACAGGTACTCCAGGCCACATTGCGGCGGCCTAAAAGCAAATATAATTATATTTGTATTAAATGAAAAAAAAAATTTCTATGGTCAAACGCAAAAGCCCACAAGTGGTATTCCACAGTGGCCAATTCACAATGCATACTCTCTCTTTCTCTTTCTCTCTCTTGATTATCTGCACAATCCTCCATGTGGTCTTTATATATATGTATATCTATAGAGAGCACCGCATGACCGACAAAATAATCCGATCGGCTGAGATGAAAGGCTTTAGAGATTGTAATAACTTTTATAAGAATTTTTTATTTATCATTTTTATAAGGTAAATCCAGACACGGTATAAGGGTGAATCTCAGAATAGAGATTAGGTAGAGATTGTTTTCATTATTTTTTAAGATAAAAGGGACAAATAAATACCAGCTGCATGAAATATACGTCTCCCTCACAAGACAAAGTTCACATCATCTCTACATGGAATAAAAATATTTTTGTACTCTGGTTTATTTTAATATTTAATATGACTATGTAGTAATACTGTTTTAAATATTGATGATCTTTAAAAGGAAAAAATGTACTTAATGGTATTTGAAATAAAAAAATTTCATCTCATCATTTTCTTAATCGTTACAGCAATATTCTAAATTATATTACATTGGAAAAACAATCAATCGGTGGTTTTAATGCGCGATGAAAAATATATTTGCTCTGCTCGAAACAATTTTGTACTGGAATAGATGAATAATATCGATTTCCAATGCTCAACATTAAGCATCACTAACAGAGATCGTAAGGTATGACAGCAGAATTAACATTGTGTGTATGTACATATCAATGCATGAATATGTAACAGAAATTTTATCAATAATATGCTATTCATCAAATAATTACAATTAGATCGATAAAAATGTCAAAATAATTTATATCTCACCAACAAAAATATTGAAAAGGCTTTTAAATAATTAGAGATGTCGATTATCAAATACAAATGTAGTTGAAGTAAGTTTTAATGAAATAAGAAAAAAAAATGAACGAGGTTTAAAATGTGCAAAATAAAAAGATGAGCTCTCTACACAGTAAAACAGTTGATCCTCTTCTACTCGGTCTTCTTGCAACTTTTGGATGTTGCAAGCAGTGGATTCTTTGTAATCTAATTTTCATACGACTGTAAATTTTCTCATGGATACGTTAATCAACGTCCCAGAGCGCGATAGTACATCAAGGAAGGAAATAAAGCTGGAGAAGGATATAGTGAGGTGGTGCTATAACGACTCTTGCCGGACGCGCGCGCGCGTGCGTAAAATCAATACAATTCCAAAGAGGAACTTTAGATAAGTAATTCGTGGTAATAAATCGTGATGAAATGGAATTGATAGAATGTCGATTTATCGATGAACAACCAAGGAAATCGAGAGGTTGGCACAGCGAGTGTGAACACCATTTCGACATGCTACATCATCGACTATTTTTGTTTTTCTCAAATCCCGTCAAGTTCTCGATGTGTTTTCGCTGCTGATGGAAAAACGAGAAACGTAATTGCTTCACTTATATACATATATATATATTTATGTATGTATTCATATACACATACCATACTTGCATACATATCTGTATGTCTATATGTATATAAATGCAAGCATACAAACGGGTCTCTCTCCATCGCTTGCTCTATCGGGTGATTTCTGTAACCTTTGGCCTTTGGGGATGTTGACGTCAGAATTGAACGATTTGTCAACAACACTACAAATCTTATTTTACGTTCTTTTGATTTCAGTTTTCCTGGTGTAAAGTTATAAATAAATATGTAACACTTTATGCAAAATATTCCCTGATTAAGGAGCACAACATCTAATGAAAATTGCTGTATTATACATGCACACAGTACTTGTAAATTTTAATTATTTAATTCATGTTTTACAATGAGCTTGGCTGGAAATTTCGTAATTTTACGAAAAGTTTTTTAAATTCAATCAAAACATTTATTTGCTTTCGTTGCTTAATTAATAGAAAAATATTTACATTGAGGAGATAATGATCTTTTATCATTTTTAGAAATTGTCAAGATCAAAATGAATTTTATCAAATGATATGAAATTTTTTAAAATTAATCTTAGATATTGATTAATTAAATAATCTTCATCTACATAGAAATTGAATTAAGCTTGAATACATTTTACTGAACGTCAAAAAAAATTTTGAAAGAAAAAAATTTGAGTTAAATTTTATTTTAAAATTTACCTTTTTTTGAAAGACTTTTAAATTTCATTTGGCAATTTATTATATATATATAACAAAAAATTATGATATTAATTTTTTATTCATATGATATCATGTAATGACAAAGTCATAATAAAATCATAATCATGTTAATGATAATGATTACAATATGTCAAATTATTCAAACATTAATCTCCAAACGCAAACATTTGTTTTTTCCCTCCCAGATAATTTATCACTCGAGCACTTGTCTGCGGAGTTGAGAGAAATAAGAATGGAAATTTTACAACAACAAATAGTGGAATGAAATACGTTTTATATGTCTATTTTAATGGACAAAAGTGGTACAAATGTTAAATACGAGCATTTAATTAAAGGTATATATGTAAGAATACATGTGGATACAAACAAAAAAAAAAAATAATTTAATAAAATAAAAATATAGCTGTAATTAAAACCAAGTGAATGCACCATCTGTTGCCCAGAAATTTATTATCTACACCTTCGTGATTTGGAACTTTCACGAAAATCCCAAGACCTCATTTTACCCTCCACCCAATTTCATTCTCACACCTTATTGCTTCTACCTAAGAATGCACCGTCATTTTTCTTTTCATAAATCCGATATACTTCGATACACTTGTAGAGGAAAAATTGAAAAAAAATTAATTCTCACTCATACATTTATAAATTACTCAGCGAAAAAATTCAAGAATAGTTTTATGTTATAATAGTATATTACTTTAATCTCAACATCACCATCATCACTTTGCTTCATCGGAAGTGTTACCCCACGCCTATTTCCTCAAGCAAGAAAAATTATATTTCCGCGGAGTTATGTATTACATAACGATTGACTTCCTGACCGTTTTTGCTTTCACCCTTGAATTTACTTTTTTTCTTTCCCTTACATTCGAAACATTATATTCAGAATAACTCCTTTTTTTATTTTCCACCATTCAATAATCTATCTGATCTATTCTGAGATATATTCCTTTGGCGGCTATACACTTTCTTTTTACGCAGCTACAGAGAGTTAAAGGAAATTGAGAAGTTTCTATCAAGAAGAGCGAATTCAAGATCAAATGGCAAAACCAAGTACCATCATCTTCTTTCCTTTTTCCATCTTCGACGACGCGTGTACTTTCCGCTGGATAAAATATAAAACACGAATTGTTGTAATCTTTCGAGGGTTGTGTGGCTTTTAAAACAACCTTTCAGGAACAGAACTTTTATACGAAACTCTAGGGAAGGATTTACTCTAGTTTAGAAGATAAATTTCGCGCGTTCATCTTCCGCTGCTGTTGTGCAACTTAACGGCTGTTTTCTCCTTCCTTTTTGCTCATCCTATCATGTTTTCTCCTTTTCTCTTTTTAATGCATACAGATACATCCTAAAAGATTTCTTACAACCCTTACTTAAGCCTTCTCTTGTAAAATCCCAGTCACGCCCATGCACGCAAGCTTCACCCAATCTAAAACTTCTTATTGGAACGTCTTCCCTATCGATTTTTGCAACCACTTTCAGGCATCGAATTAGAGTTATCCACAGGCATCAGGCCGGAGGCAAAAACGTGATGAGAAATATTAATGCATTTATAATAAGCTTTTAAGCTGTTTGTTATTATTGTTCTAAAAAATTATTATCCCTCTCAACTCATATAAAGCTTCAGTTAATAAATACCTAACAGATTAAATTAAAAGTAATCTGGTAATTAAATAAATAAGACTAAACTTCTCGTAATAAAATTCTTTAAGAATTATTTATGTTGACAAATTAAGTGAAATTCACTCCGATTATTATTCACATAAAATAAAAATGAATGTAAACATTTTTCCCCTCTTTAAAAGAATCATAATAACCATTTTACTCTATTCTTCTTTTCTACTGGAAAAAAGAAAAAATTATAAAACTGGAAAACATTGATCTTGTTGTCACACTTTCTGTAATTGAATGATTACATAAGTCTAAATAAATAAAAAAAAATAAAATAACTGAGAAAAATTATTATATTGAAGCATGATTTAAATGCAAAATTACGGAGGAAAAAATTAATAAACATAAGCAAACATGAAACAAAGTAATATAGAATTATTGCTATGTAAATAGAGAGCTATAAATGGCTGACATTAAATAAACACTGGGACTTGACAGAGGGTAAAGAATAGTTATTATCATTATTTCAGCATAAAACATGGAATTTACTTTGAAGTAATATTGATAATTATCTCGACTAATGTAATTAAGTTAATGTTAACATTTCATACATCTAAAAATATACCCCAATAACTAGTGATTGCCATGATTTGTTTTTCCCTTGCAATCGATAAGAAAATTCACCTTTATCCTATTTTTATCGCATGTCAGACCATTTGTAGTGGTTAATGGTTACTTTAGTTGTGGAGAATTCTATCAACCTACTCTATCTATGTATTTCACTGTGAAAGACCACGTACTAACTATAAAAGAAGTTACAGACGTTAAATTACGTAGATATAAAATATTATTCTAGATCATAATCACGGACAGCAATAAAGCTACGAGCCAGTAAAAATAATTTTTGATTTAATGAACTGATTTGCGGTCACTTGCATAAAATACACTGTTAAAGTTACCGGAAAATATATGTACAAAAAGACTTGAAAGTATTTTATAGTAATTAATTTTCAAAATATTCGCGTTAGAAAAAAAAAAACGTAATATATTAACGATCAATTTTTTCTTTACTTTAAAAACTATAATCTTTTTATTCATCTTGCATATTTATTTTTTGCACATATGTTTTATATTAAAATCGATACATAAAATGATGAAAAATAAACTTCAAGTTGAGTTTATGACTTTACATATCCTGAAGTAAATTGAATAAATTTTAAATTTACACTGTTTTTAATTTAAAAGTATTTAAGATTAAAAATATGTACATTCCACTTTGACTTTTTCACTAGAAAAAAGAAATTTAAAAAATCTCTTTCATGTAATAATTGGAATATTTTTTTTATAAAAAATATAAAGTACTGAATCAGATTACAGCAAAAAAAATGGAAAAAATGAGATATAAATTTCAAATATTCACATATATTTCAAATTGTTTTCCCCTGTGTATTATTTATAAAAAAAAAAATTTATTATCTAACAACTTAAACGTCATTTACACACTCAAACGAGTTAGAAAAAACTTTTCAATTCAAAATTTGTTAATCTAGTTTGGATATTAACTGTTAATTTAGTTAAAAACCAATAGGTATTTTTAACTCGGATGCTGAAATTCGAAATACTCTGTATTATCGGTAAATTTTTTTCAATCACAATAAATAATCAACAATCACAAATATTTTTAATAAAAATTCAACATTGGAATAACAAAAAAAAAATCTTCTTAGAGAATGAATTTTTAAAACAATATTTTTAGATTGTACATAAATCAACACCACTGTGAGCACAAACTACAAAAATATTTACACACAAAACAATCACATATAAAAAAAATAAAATAAAAGCGATTTTTGACATGATGAATTATATATGTAAAAGTGTAAGAAAATTTCCAAGTCTTTGTGTATATCAATAATAATGATAATAATAATGGCAATGAATATAAAGAACGTTTTATTAGCTGAAGGAAAATGAAAAGCAATATCTTTTCAAGGACTGCCAATATGCTGGAATCTCACACCTTTATATATATTTTTTTCTCGTTTTTGCTCTTTTAGATCTTATTCCACAAGCCTGACGTTGCTTCATCAGAAAGGCTGAGTTTTGCTCAGATAAGCACAAACTCTTCGTCGCAAGTGCACCGGATATCCGATTGATTGGGAGGATATACGAAATTGTGCCGCATTTCCCGACAAATTGGCAACTCTTAACCAGGACATGAAGAACGGAATGCTTCCATTTTTCATAACGTTATTACTTAAAATCGATTCTACGTGATAAAAATATTTTTTTGGCCTTGCTGCTAATCATAATCCGATCTTGACACGCTGAGAGTAAAATGAAATCAGAAAGAAAAAAAAGTATATTTACATACATATTGTAGTAATTTATAACAGATATATCTCAATTTAACCATCATACACAAAATAAATTTGATAGCGATAAATAAATCTTATAACTTGCAGTACAGCTTTTAATTAAATATAATTTCGTTGAGTTGTACTGCTAATTGCATTCTTCATCATCACCAAACTTCAGTACATGAATAACCATTTGAATAATTAAAAGCTCTTGAATAATTGGATTCGTGCATTGAATTGTTGAAATTCTTTGATGTCAAATGTCTACTTCTACATTTATTAATTAATAATAAATCATATTGGCTTATATTCACTTTCAATTATTTGATCACCACCAAATGTCGTGTAAAATATTTATATCTCGAGTCCTTCATCAAAATCGACATCAACTTAAGTATTTACATGATAGGAAATAAATTACATCAGCTTGCTTATCACTAAAAACATGGCCCGGATCATCAGGTGTCTCATTAGTCAAGGGTAACTAGTGACTACTCTATCTGCTTCAATTAAAAATTTCACGAGCACATCAGGAGCATTAAAATGTATACGTTGCTAATACATAGTCGAGTAACAACAATCAATTCAATCTTGACATATGTACAATTTCAATAGTAATCACACATCTACATAACATACATATAATCTCTACCGATGTGTCATCTTCTAACATATTGTGTATAATATTTTACTGTATTTTACATTGATATTAATTCATTACAACTTACGATCTACTATAAATCACACAAATACTTTTTCACATATTTTTTTGTTGATAAAACTAAAAAAAAAAGTTACTGATGACTTTCAATTAATGTTTTTGTTTTATTTGAAAAAATTATTCTCTTAATTTTTTAGGGGAATAAAAGTCACGATAACATTTGAGCTTATTTTCTTTACAAGCCGGAGCAGAACCTCATAGTTTATTAAGCCGATAAATATAATCGTATTATTTTACTGTATTTATATTGAAACGTCATGTCGATATATTTTGTTACATTTTAAATTAAGCCGATAGTATTCTATAACCAGTGAAAGCATAATTCTCCAAAAAAAAAACACATTACATCAGGAGAAAGTTTTTGTAGGAAGAAAAAAAATATTGATATTTTTTTTGGGTTTTCAATGACATAAAAATGGTCATTGAAGTCAAAAATATATAATATATAGAGGGGAAATGAAATTGATGGCCAAAACACTTGAGTTGACTCTCCACCAAATCAGAGCAAAGCCTGCAGGTCATTAAACCGATAAGCATAATCAGGATAGGAAAGCATCAATGGAGAATATAATAATTCACACAGCAGGAGGAAATAAAAGTGGAATGAGGCAAGTAGAGTCAGACAGTTAGGGTGTAACCTATAAATGATACTTTTACACTTGAATCGGAAAGTTTGATCCTCATCTGGAAGAGTATCCTCAGAATAACAAGTATCAAATTACGCAGTCTATCATTAAGCACGATCTTTGACAAGTAAAATAACACTTTTCGACATTTCACCGGAATCCTGAAGAGACAGCTCGACATATTGAACGTCGATAAAGATGTTCACGATGTGGTGTAACAGAGTCATAAAAAAATCACTGAAATTCCAACGTGCAACGACCGTTCCAGCATGAATCTTGCAATCTTTATACGCTTATATCTTGGCTTCATAACACTTTTATACTGCCTATACAAATACACGTTATGATTAGACTATCAATGTATATAAAATTATGCTTATACTACGCCCAGAGTTGACACCCGAGCAACTCTTTCCACTGTAAAACATCTCCTCCTTGCCCGGTCCAGCCAATGGTGCTCGTAATTAGAACTCGATCATCAAGTTGCAAATCTCAACACTATTATCAATGTTGGAAAGTAAAAAAATATCACGTGTCAGAGTGGAATGAAAAAGAGAAAAAAAACTCACCTGGAGATGATGAAAATCCTAGGCAATCACGGCGAATCGTCTCGGTGATGGTGACATGGCGCCCTCCGATATTACTCGCTGGATCAGTTAGCAAACGTCCTACCTCGGGAGATTCGTCTCCTGGACTGCCGTTGTTGAGAGGTCCTCAGCAATTCACACTGACTACCTGGTTGCTGGTGCGCTATTGATCTCGACCCAGACATCCGACGATCCACGCAGACGCTTAATGCTGCCGCGTCGCTTTAGCAACGTGACGTCATTCACCACCCTCTAACATTCCACTCCTATTTCTCCAGTCTCTACTCCAGTTCTGTGGCAATCCAACCCCTTCATACCTCTTGCCACCAAGTCCCAAGCTGTACCAACGTATTACCTTAGTATTGAATCATCGATGCTTGCTTTTGCACACCTTCAAGATTGCGATGGATCATCTAATCGAGAATCACCAAACAGACTATTGTTTACCTAGCGAATCTCTCGCATCTCACTGAGATCTCGTCCTCCAAATACTTCGTACCAGAGACGATCAAATTAAACGACCGCTTGGGGAGTGATTCGCACACCGGCGTCAGATTCTCTCAACTCGTCTACCTCTATTCACTTTCGGATTTTTTTTTTACTTACCACCATGTAGACATGTGTACAAGAGCTTAGTTACCACAAATAATGACCTTTTCGACAGCCAAGTATTAAAAGCCTTTTCATATTACTTAAATTTTTACTACGATTTCTATGTTTATACCTATTAAATTTAATGAGTAGGTATGGTTGAGTATTTTCTTCTTTATCTAAATAAACTACTTGCGTATATCATTCCTTACCGCAAAATATTGTGTAAAAGGCTACCTCTCATTAAAGAGTTTTTTTCACGCTCTTTTTTGTTGGCAAATACGAACATACGATACGAGAATAATCTGTTAGTGTGATAAATATAGTAACGTCCACTTCAACTGGATTATATCGAGGATAATACAACTGTTTATAACCAAAAGTGAGATAAAATAGAGAGAGGAGATTCAAGGAGTAATCCTAATAATCATATCAAGATGTAATACAACATTTTTAAAACTTCAACAGAAATAAATTTAATCAAAATTTTTCACCACTGAAGTCTCAATCTCTATCAATACTTCAATTATCATCAATATTGTCAACAATGACAGTTATTCAATAACTATAATTAATCCATTTAATTCTCTTTTATTTGGTTCTAATAATTATCAACAATTATATTTATTAAAAAAAAAGTCCAATTGATTTATCAAAATGACTTTTATAGTTAAATACTCCAGTGTAATATTAAAAGGAAGAAGAAATGGTAATAATGTTACAAGAATATTGCAAAAGTCTTTGTATAATTCAATAGATTCTCCACATCTTTCATTCACTTATAATCATTTCATAGAGAGTATAAATTAAAATTAAAATTAAAATGAAACTAGTTTTGGAATGAAACGATGTCCAAGACATTTGCAATAAGTTAAGTGCACTAGATGAAATAAATAAGACACCTTTTGCTTGTTACAAAACCTTAGTATTAAAATATTCCAATAAAACAATAAATAATCATGATTGACAATAATAAAATTAATCAATTAAAGATTCGGCAGTGGAATATGCTAGAATCGGCAGGTGCCTACATCACAATAATTATGTGTTTTAATGTATAGGGATTATTGAATGATTCGACCATGAATTACAATTGTACATTATTAGCGTAAATTACGCTATACTCTTGCGAATTAATTTCTTTTATACATCTATTTTACATCGCGACAGAAACATATTATTTATAATTATACGCGACATTTGAACTTGTACTCATCCGAGACATATTACGATTTAAATTACTAAATTCTGAACACGAAGAAAATTCAATTAATTGACGTATCAAAAGGTTTATAGTCTTCTTTGTTTACGTTTTATTAATTAGTTGTTAATTGAATTTTCTTTACATGACTTTGATTCTCCGACATTCAGGATAATTATTATATTGTTATCTATTGGCATTTGATATGCACAATAGCTATGAACACTTCATGACCTTAAAGTTAAGCAATGGAAATTTTTACAATTTACAAAGTTTACTGAGAATCAACTATCAACGAACACACAGAGGTTTGGTAATTTTTTTACCACGTTTTTTTATCGTTTTATCAGTTTTCCCAACCCCAGAAAATTCAATGAGCGAACAAACATGTATCAAACACTCATATAAATTGAGTTAACTCTTATAACTTGTTTTTTGTAATTAAGATTCCAATCATGCCGATTACGTGTTTCCGAAATTTTTTATCGCAATGCTACTGTCAGCATACTAATTCATAGAACTAAAAATGATTTTTAAATAAAAAAAGAATCCTAAAAAGTTAATTAGTAAAATAAAAAAAAAAACTTGCAATAACATTATATATATAACGCCTCAACATGTCAACATTGACAAATACATTATCAACTAATTGTCACTATATAAAAAATTGTTATGACAAATTATCGTGATTTTCTATTAATTTATCTAATGGACCTTAATAATTTTTTTACTTTTTAAGTTATGATGATACTTGATACTTTAAGTAAAGTAATTTTGCCTAAAATTTTGTTGGCATAACTCGTAGCAATACCTTGATTTTTTAAAAATTTTTCCATAATTAAAACTCAAATGTCACATTCACTCTCATTCAGACTATTTAAGAGACCAAAAAATAGGAGAGAAAACTATTGTTAAAGAGAATTTGGCAAAAAAAAAGAACCATATTAATAGGTAATAATCTTCACAAGGCAGGATTACAACAAGATTACGATTGTTCACTAGAAGGCCAATGACCTGAATTGTTCCAGTCCCAATCTTTGCCTTTTGGTTTAAATTTGCTCGTACTTCCAGAATTATTCCAATCTCGATGGAAGAACTTTTTCTTAAAATGATGTCGCTCAGGATCAGGCTGTCGTTGATACTTAAGTGGCACGGATGAACTGCTACTTCCGCTAGATGCATGAGGAGGTCGAGGACTCGTAGGAGATGGAGTACGAGGCGGACCAAGAGCTTCGTCGGGTGAGGGAGCGACGGGTGATGGACCAATTACAGTACTATCTGATCCTAATCCACTATCCGGACTCGTATTGACCCCTTCTGTTGACCGTCGACGTTTGTCAAGTTCAGTGGATGCAAAGGCAACTAGTCTATCGAAACCTGAGCTGATGCGATCCTGCCAGTCTGCTTCACCATCTGTAATGCGAATGTCATTTACCAAGCCTTCTCACAATAATTATGTTATTTATCAACAGCATATTTCCATAAAAATAAGCCACTTCCCTATGCTCATAATAATCATTTTTAATATTAAAAAAGAAGGATAAAATATAAATATACTATATCTACAGCATTCTTCCAGTTAAACTAACTTTCATGCATACTCTCTATTATCTTAGAGTAAATTCTTGAGAGGAAATGGTGTTTTTACTACAACAAAGTATGTACATCTTCATAAACTATTAAACTACTGGCCATTACCTAGAATGACTACCTTTGGCTTCAATTACACTTTTGCCAATTTTGTAACTAAAATTTTGTCTTAAATTTACATATCAGTTGCTACTAAATTTTGGCTTATTTTCATGTAAATATGCAACTGACTGTAAAGATGAGATTCCCTAATGCCATGATGAGTGAACCTGATTGTTTAAATAACTATCAAACGTAAGAAAAAATCATTTGGATTAATGTAATGTTTTGCTCTTGATGGTTTAAACAATAAAATTTTGAAGAACCCCTGTGGGAAAACTCACCAAGAACCGCGAACCAACCCAAAGGCAGCCATATTCTCTTATTTCTCCCTTTGATCGCCTCAATCTCTAACAAAACAAGCCTCACGGGTATTTGAGGAGAGACTGAGTATGTGACAGAGCTAACCAACAAACAGCTACAGTGCATCTAACAAATACAACCAACAATAACAAAAAAAAAAAAAAAAAAAAAAAAATAAATTATAAATAAAGATCGCATACCAATTCTCCATTAGATTGATTTATCAACAGAAACCATAGATAATGATTGCCAAAGCCATTAATTAAAATACAAATAAAATCAATAAATGCAAATTGATCAAAAACATAAATAATTCTTTAGTATTCAATCCGAGTAGTCAAGGAAAAATAATTTAAATTATAATTAGAACAATCGGAAGTGATACAGGATTGAGAGAAATCGAGGGTCTGTCACCAAACTAAATAAGCAATCACAACTTTAGATCAGATTATTATCTAATTAAATATCAACTATTAAGTTTTAACATTCGACTAACTGTAGAATATAAGCATAGCATAAGTTTCTTAAAGGTAATGCAAATTTAGGAAGATTACTGGGTGATTTATCCGTTAAGTCAAGTGTATAAAGATCAATAAAATTTACGACATGGATACTTACCTTCATCTATAATTCCACTTCGTTGTCTTTGCGACGTCATGTGCGGTTCATCAACTAACGGCGTCGAAGTATTGGAATGCGGTTCAACAAGAGGACTTAGAGGTGCTCCACTTGTGCTTACTGAAGAAACGTTTGCTTCAGTTTTAACTAAAGACGATGCTGATGACAATTGAAGTGGTGATGTTACTCTGTCACTACTGCTACGACCATTGTTACTATTTGTATACCGAGGGTACGGTTGGTATCTGAATTTAAAATTTAATAAATCATTATTTAACATTTACGCATTAATTTATTTTTATAATTGCTTTTTATTTGCATATATCTTTGCAATTTACTATTCCTTAAGTGAATAAACTTATATTAAGAATGTTGATATTCAACTGTATTTTTTTTAGAATCTTGTTTACTATAAAAATACAAATATAAAATCCATGAGATTGAATAATAAAAAAAGACTTATTTTTTTTATTAGCAATGGTCTATGCAATAACTAGATAATCTGGTTTAGTTTACCTTCGACCATTAATAGTGTCATTTTTATCACTATGATTATTTAATATCCTTGCATGCAAGGATGCTGCTAAACCTTCAACCGGCACATCACCATTGGTTGACGACTGCGAAGAATGTGATGATACAGCGAGCTGTGTTTGTTTTATTGGCTGAGAAGAATTGTCCGTAAAATATGATTCATGATAAGGCTTTATATCTGCTCGAGGCAATTGTACTGGTGTATACCTTGAAGAAAACAATAAAAAAAAAACAAAAAAAATATATCCATTAACAAAGTATCAATACTTAAGAATAATCAATTACTATTATCCATGAATAAATTGTACCTTTGTGGTTGAGTTGATGGAGTAAAAAGAACAGAAGATCGAGATGAAGTTGTAGAAGTCGATGAAGCTGAAGACGTTGGTGCATAGCTTGCAACATGAGCCAAAGTTGCTAAACCTGTTTCACCTTCTGCACTAGCGGGTCTACTGATAGGAGAATAAACGGCTTCAGGTCTAATAATTGCGCTCATGTCAACAGCCGCATTAATAATTGACTGATTAGATATTTCGAGAGTCCTTTCTATTTCTCCACTCACAAGATCTCCAATAGTTCTTGTTCCCAAAATTCCCGCTCCACCAGAGCTGATACGATTATCATGATTTAATTGTCGTGAATCCGAGTGTGATCGATCGGATGTCGATAGATGAGAGGTAAGACGTTCCTGAGAAAGATGTCGTCGAAGAGCCAATTTAGCTGGAGATACTTGAGTATAGTCTGGTGTTCCAACTGTTTGTGATAAATTAGTTCGTTTCCGATCAAGCTCGCTAGGTTGTAAAGGCTGTTGCGTGTGCAATTGTAAATTATGTGGTTGCTGTTTATTTCTATTTTGCTGATCTTCATTCAAAACACTAGTAATAATACTTTTTAGTCTATCTTCAAAATCAGCCACTCTAGGAGGTTCTTGCATGCGATTTACTGATTCTCTTGAATTCCCTTGAGATTGAGTCACACCAGAAGATGAAAAACTAAAGTTTGCTTGTGGTAATCTCACTCTCGAATTTGATGATGATGTACTTCCAACTGAACCAATTCTATTTGGTATTCGACCTGCTTCAATTTGACGTCCAGTTTCTAAAATTTTTTGCGCTAAAATCTCAGGATTATTCTCTTGTATTTTTCCTATATCTGGCACATCTGGCCACTCTTGTGACCTTGAACGACCTTCACGATTCTTCCTTGGACTTTTTCCATTCTGCTGTGGGTGGTGATGTGTATGATTTTTTACAGTTGCTTCTCGTTGTTGTTGCTGTTGAGCAAGTGCTGCAGCTTGTTTTTCACTTGTTGCGCGTTCTAATAAGTTCAATTCATGTTCTAACTTGGACACCTAAAGAATGAAGGACAATAAATGATGATTCATTAATGACATAAATTAAGTTTGATGAATTGTTTCTCTATGATTAGTACCTGAGAATGTAATTTTTTCCTTTGCGACAAGGTTGCAGATATTTCTTTGAGTATATACTCTTGCGTTAGCGCTTGAGGAGGATTCGAAATGTTATTTGTGCTACCATGAGCATTGAACTTTTCTTGAAGCTCTTGATGCCTGAGCGCTGCTAAACGTGATTGTTCTGTTTCCATCGATGATACTTGAGCCTGTAATTTACTTGCCTTGGCTTGGAGCTGTTTATGTCTAAGAACGATTTCTTTTGCTTTTGCGAGTAAATCACATGGTGACGATGCATTTATTCCCAATTCAGTCATTCTTGCTTTCAGCAAAGCTACGCTATCATCAATTAATACTTTTATTTGTTTTTCTAATTGCGCTGCACGCGACTGTAGTTTAGAATTCCTTTCTCGTTCCTTTGCTAAATCTGTATTAACTGACACCTTGTAAGCAGGTGTCTTTATAGCTTCCAGCATAAGCATAAATTGGTCCCTGTAAATAAAATAAATACATATAATTTCAGCTCGTACAACAGTGATAGTTATAAACATTAGGACTTTTAAAGAGTCTTTACAAAAGTTTAATTCTGTAATTAAAAAAAATATAAAAAAAATTTTATTCTAATAAAATAATTAAACATTAAATAAAAAGGATGCAATAAACTTAATTACTTCATTGATTTGTAAAGATCTTTATGGATAGTTAATGTTTATAACTCAATAAAAAACCTGTATAAGTCAAGGAGAATCTGCAGAGCGTATGGTGTTGCGGCAGGTGCTGGAGGTATACTGAGCTCTTCATGAACAGATGTAGAATGTGCTTGAAGAGACAGAGATAGTGAAGAAAGATGCTGATCAACACATCCAGGAGCAGGAGGTGGTTTCTTTCCAATTGCTTGTGGAGATGTACTTAAAAGTGTTTGGCTATGTAGAAGATCCAACCCAGAAATATTGATAGCTTTCTTAGGTTTGGCTTTCTTAACTCCTCCTCTACCTCGTTGTCTTCCTCTAGCAGACGTTCGGGTAATGCCGTTACCAACTTTTCTATTTAATTTTCTACGCATTTTAGAAGTTTTTCGTCGGGATTTCATATTGTCATCTAAATCTGAATCACTATTGGTTGCTTGAAGCTCAGAATTATTTGGACTATCTAGCTGCCGTGTTAAATCTCGTTTGGCTCTATCTCCTCGTTCACTTCTATTAGATATTTTACTACTATTGCTGGCAGTGTTACTTATCACAGAATCAGAGTTTTCAACATCTGGTCCACCTAATCTATTGTTCTTTAAACGTAGAAAATAACGTTCTAATTTTGTTCGATCGATTACGTGGAGGTAGTAGGAAACTGGCTTGCCAGTCCAAGACACTGAACCTTTCAAGGGTGTCATTTCGGATACATGCATAATTGTACCAATGTCACTAAGATTCCGATCTGTTATACGGAAATTTAACGGGCAGAATGATTTTGAAGATACTATTCTTGCACCGTCACGCAAGTCAGCAAAACGTTCTTTCAATTGATGATCTACCGTAGGACCAAATGCGAAATTATTTACAAAAACTATTGTTGCACTAGTGATACTTTCTCGATTCTCATCAGCCAAAAAATCTCCTTTTACGAGACGATATTCTCCACAACGTTTTCCATACCAGTTTAACCATTTTCGGAAATTTATTTCCATGCTCTGTTAATGAAAAATTTAAAGCTCATTAGAAAACTATTTTAATTTACTCAATATTTGTCTTTAAAATATATCATAGATAAATCATACATACTTGTGCATAACGTGAAGGCACCTCAGCTTTTTCAACACCTACTGAGATTTTACAAAAAGTCGATGCAGCCATTTGAAGAACAACTTGTCCTACTCCTGAACCCAAATCAATAAAAATATCATCTTCTGTAACATCTATTTGATCGATCATTTGACAGACAAGTTCATAACTCGTCTCTCCATACACTTCGGGTGAAAAAGGTTCATACTGATTTAATTTATCAGGTTCTACTACTGCTTGATTATAAGTTTGCTGGAGTATATGACGAAGTAAACCTCTACTAGGTCGTTTATTTAACCTTTGTGAAGGTAAACTCGTACCTTTTTCCTAAAAAAGTCATGTAAAATTAAATTTCCAGCATTTACATATTACAAAGGTGACTTTTGAATTAATTGAATGAATAAGAACAACAATTTTTCATTATTTTACAATCAATTATCGAGTTAGTAACAAAAGAATCATTATTACTTCACTTCTCTAATAAGATTAATTAAATATGCAAAAATATTAAGATCAATTCGATTTTCTACTTATTATAGCTTCATCTATTATATAATTATTTTTCATTCTGATAAAACAATTGATTTTTGATGAATATATAACTAATTAACAGATATAGTCTTGTGAAGGTGTACAACAATATATTAGAATAAAAACAAACACTTACCAGTTGTACTAAACTATCAATTGCTCTATTGAAACGATCGCATAAACTTTTCATACTTTCATAATCTCTTGGATCATAATCTGTTAGAATATTATTTTCTAATGGTAATTTCAAGTCTGGTAAATCATCACAAACCCATCTCATGGTTTCAACTACGTCTATTGCTCCATCATGACGATCCTGTAAATAAACAAATCAACATGTAGTTTTAGCTACGATGATAAATAACGAAATAGGGCCAAGTAATTTTATAAAAATAATTGAGGTGAAAAAATGATTTTAATTATGCTGTCATTAACACAAATGAGTACAAGGAAATGAGGACATAAACGTGTTCTGCTTATCTCATGCGCCAAATGCATTATTCAGTAAAATAACAAGATCAAGGAAGTAACAATGTAAAATAAACTCACGGCTCCTGATCCAGAAGTAAGTGGCCAATGGTAAATGATGGGCTCTGCTCCCGCTGGTGAGTGTAATCGTAACTCTTGCATTTTTCTTATGAGGCACAGATGCGTATTACTTTACGTGAAAATGATCAGAAAATACTGGTTAGGTGACGTAATCCTGCTTAAGAATTTATCGTTGAATGTAGCTCGTGCACTAGGATGCCACAACCACGTAGACGACGCTCGCGGACCCCCCCCGCTCGACAATCGTTCTCCCGAACATTAAGCACACGCGAAAAGAAACTTTACCTGCGTAATTTTGCCACGTCCGCTCCACTTTTATTAATAAATATTGCCTCAATCCGGAAATCGGGGAGGGCTCGCACAATAAAATAACTTTAAAATACAAAGCACGCGAACTTGAATGCGAAAAGCACCAGCACAGTTTTGCTTTGGGGGGGGATGACGACATCAAAACATGGCGTCATGCTTCTTCCTCCACTCTACACAGCTACGTTCCGTTACCATCTCCAACTCCTTTTTTCATGCCAATGTCTTTCTTCGGCGCAGGCGCAACATCAGCCATTGAACCTGCTGTGCACCACTATTTTGTTCCAAAAAAATATTATAAAAATACAAATATCAGTTATATATTTACACTGTACAATGTCACTTCCAGCATTGAACAACCCATGAACTTGAAAAGTGCATCACTTCCGTATACGTGACTTGATGAACTAATTCAAATAAACTCGCAATATATTAGAATATTATGTATCACTACATAAATAATATTGTATTTTATTTCACGTTATGTAGATACGTGATGTCAGTCACGCGCTTTAAAAAACACTACTATCCTGTATGTCACTATAAATATTTTCAGTTACTACGATAAAAATAATTAAAAATTTTTTTTTATTTTCACAAACACTACAAAAAATTGTTTTACGCTAAATGTTGATTGATGGAAAAAGTTATTTATATAATTATTAATTCAATATATGAAATATTTAGATTCACCTTTTTGTCACTGAAGAAAATATTAAAAGCAAAAATTCTATCTTCAAAATAACGGTTATTTATATATTTGAAATTATAGAAAACTTTTGTAGAGTAACTTAAAAACTTTTAGATAAAAAAAACTAACTTAGGTCAAGTGCATCAGCACCTGTTTTGAAATAAAGATGCGAATAATCTCCGACATCCCCAACCATTTATTTGCAATAAAACTATTGGACATGTTGAGAACCACTTTACTTTCCAATTTGCTACATTACCGATGCATTTTCGTAACCTAATTTTCTAAAACTCCACTGTGGCTCTTTCATCGCTTGTTGTTTCAACAACGAACACAGCCGCTGCTTTATTACAAACATTGACCTTCCTAGTTGTTGAAAGTGCCGCAGCGCTAGCTTATGATTTAACAGTTAGACGAAGAACAATAGAAAAAGATACAAGACAACATGGACGCTTAGTCAAGGTGTTCGTAGCTGTCAAAAGTATTTGTAAATTTTTTCAAAAACTAGATCGTTATTATTTAATATTTAATATTCAAATAGTTCATCAGAGAAATTTTTTTTAATACAAACATTCAAATATTCATAAAAAATGCTAACTGCAGCAGCAAATACGTTGTCCAATAACACAGGAGGGTCTTACAGCAATGACCGACCTTCTGGTGGAACAGGAGATTCAGAATTGGGTACTGATCCAGCTACTGGAGGTTTTTTTCATTCAGATTATAAAAAGTAAGATCATAGAATACAATAAAATATTTATATAAGAAATCATCATTTATCTTAAATGTTTCCATTTAAGTTTCTTTTCTGCCATGCTTATGGGTCATCTGTTTATGCTTTCTTCCTTTACGAATTATTATTTAATTATATAACAAATTTAATCTATTCTATAGGCATGAAGATCTTAAGCAAATGTTAGATAGTAATAAAGATGGACTTAAATTAGAAGCTATGAAACGGATTATAGGCGTATGTATTTTATTTTAATACAAAAAAAAATATTTACTCTAAAATCATTGAATTGTTAACCATACTTTTTTAATGATCATTTGTTTGGTTTAGATGGTTGCCAAAGGACGAGATGCTTCCGATCTTTTTCCAGCAGTGGTAAAAAATGTTGTATCAAAAAATATTGAAGTAAAAAAATTAGTATATGTTTATTTAGTAAGATATGCAGAAGACCAACAGGATTTGGCTTTACTATCAATTTCTACATTTCAAAGAGCTTTAAAAGACCCGAACCAATTGATTCGAGCAAGTGCATTAAGAATTTTGTCTAGTATACGAGTTCCTATGATTGTTCCAATTGTTATGCTGGCTATAAAAGATTCTGCAAGTGATATGTCACCATACGTTAGAAAGACTGCTGCTCATGCAATACCTAAACTATATTCTCTAGATCCAGAACAAAAAGATGAGTTGATTAGTGTGATAGAAAAACTGTTATCGGATAAAACGACGTTAGTCGTTGGATCTGCAGTGATGGCTTTTGAAGAAGTTTGTCCAGAAAGAATAGACTTAATCCATAAAAATTATCGAAAACTTTGCAATTTGCTGGTGGATGTTGATGAATGGGGACAAGTAGTGATTGTTAATATGCTAACTCGATATGCAAGAACACAATTTGTTAATCCGAATTTAGATGTGAGTATGACACTAAACGTACTCGTTTATATTCATGATTATTATACTAAAGAAAATTTTCCTACAGGAAACCGAAGAAGATCCAAATCGACCATTTTATGAGTCTGACTCAGACTCCTCCAATGTTAAAAAGCCTAAATTTTCATTGGATACAGATCACAGACTATTACTAAGAAATACTAAACCTCTTTTGCAAAGTCGGAATGCATCAGTAGTTATGTCTGTGGCTCAATTATATCATCATGTAGCACCTCGCAGTGAAGTGATCATAGCTGCCAAAGCATTGATCCGATTATTGAGAAGTCATCGAGAAGTTCAAAGTATAGTTCTTCATTGTATAGCTAGTATATCTATTTCAAGAAAGGTAACGTAAGTATTTGCGAATCGAGTAACTTTCGCAAAGCTTTTTTAACTAATACAATTTTAAAAATTTATCTGTTTGCATATATTAAATATTGTTTTACTCTTCAGGGAATGTTTGAGCCATTTCTTAAATCATTCTTTGTCAGAACATCCGATCCAACTCATATAAAATTATTGAAATTGGATATACTTACTAACTTAGCAACCGAAACAAGTATAGGAGTAATATTGAGAGAATTTCAGACATACATTTCTAGCAGTGATAAAGAATTTGTTGGTGCTAGTATTCAAGCAATCGGCAGATGTGCAAGTAACATTAAAGAAGTTACAGATACGTGTTTAAATGGATTAGTGTCGCTATTAAGTAATAGAGACGGTAAAATAATTCACATAATGGTTAATAGTTAAGTTCATGAACTCTTGTATTTATGTATAATTTAATATTACTTGTGACCAAATATTTCGTATAATAACTTGAAAAACTTTTTTTTATCAAATACACGAGTTTGTAAACTTATAAATCATTGCTTTTTTACATTTTAGTTATTCTAAATATTTTTTTTTTTTTATATATAGAAGTTGTTGTCGCAGAAAGTGTTGTTGTAATAAAAAAACTTCTGCAAACTCAGCCTAATGAACATAAAGATATTATAGCACACATGGCCAAGTTGATGGATTTCATAACAGTTCCTCAAGCAAGAGCTTCAATTCTATGGCTACTAGGAGAATACTCAGATCGTGTGCCTAAAATAGCTCCAGACGTACTTCGAAAAATGGCAAAAAGTTTTACGAATGAAAAAGATATCGTTAAATTACAAGTTTTAAATTTAGCAGTGAAATTATGCTTGAATAATCCTGAACAGACAAAATTATTTTGCCAATATGTCTTTCAACTTGCCAAATATGATCAAAATTATGATATTAGAGATCGAGCACGATTTCTTCGACATTTTATATTCGATGAAAATAATTCTGAAAATAAACTTCCACAATATGCTAAGAAAATATTCTTTGCTCCAAAACCAGCACCAACTCTTTCGTCTCGTTTTAAAGGCTCTCAATATCAGTTAGGTACTTTATCTCACTATCTTGACATGCCTTGTGCTGGATATCGACCATTGCCTGATTTTCCTGACGTTGCACCGAATCCTTCTGTTCGAGATATTGCAGAACCAGTGCCAACTCATGAGCTGCGAGAAAAACGATATAGTAGAAAGGAAAAGAAAGTTAAAGAAAAAGCATTTTACAGCGACGATGAAAGTACTCCTGCTGATGGTAAATTTCTTAATTATTTTTGCGATAATTATGAGCATGATCAATTATGATTAACGTGTGTATAATAAAATAAGGTCAAGTTGAGAGTAATTCACCAATTAACTACTAAAGTAGGTTTGTGTTACTTAAGAATTAAATTAATTTTTATTTATAGAATCCGAAGATGAATCGTCAGAAAGTTCTTCAGAGGACTCTTCTGGTTCCGAGGATAGTAATTCTTCCAATTATTCATCAGGATCAGAAAAATCTGAAGATAGGTCAATTAAAAAAATAAAGAACACTGAGAAATCAGAAACATCAAATAGTGAATCGAACTCAGACGAGTCTGAATCCGAAGAGGAAAGTGAAGACTCGTCAGAAAGTGAAGCTGAATTAAAAAAACCTGAACCAGAAGTCCATGTTAAGAAAGAACCGGTTAAAGATAAACCGAAGAACAATCTCGATTTGCTTTTAGATTTAGATGATGGTAATTACACACTTCGAAATAATTTTTTTTAACCATTTAAAATTTACAGTCTCCTATACAGTATACAATTAATTAAATTTTTTCAGTAATTCCAATGACTCCTGTTATGACACCGAGTTTAGGAGGATTTTTAACTCCAATAAATGTAATGAATATTAATGGTATAACAGAAGTATCAGCATCTTTCACGCCATTAAAAAAAACGGAACATTTAAATAAAATTTCTGGACGAGGATTAAAAGTAGAATCACGTTTCACAAGATGTCAACATTTAGTTAGTGCAGCTTTTGTTAACATTGAATTAACATTTACAAATGAAAGCACTGAAATTATCAATAATATTAGAGTTGGTTCAAAGAATTTATCTGGAGGAATGATGATTCATGATTTTTCACCCATTTCGACAATACCATTAAATGCTACTGTATCATCAACACTAGGAGTTAATTATAATGATTCCACACAACCAGCAAAATTTAATATTGAATTTACCATAAATGATGAGACTCATTCATGTCCTATTAATTTGAAAGCTCCTGTTGGAGAAATTATTCGCGCTGTCCAGCTTTCTGAATCTATGTTTACAACTGAAAAAGATAAATTGAAAGGCATGAATGAACATAATACGAAATTAACATTTACAGGAACAAAAAAAGAACTTGTACAGAAAGTGTATGAAGTTGCTAATTTAGCTTTAATTTCTAATGAAGAGGATTCATTGAGGTAAGAAACTTAGGTAAAATTATAAATAATAAACATAAATATGATATAAATACCTTATTATCACTATTGTTATTTTAGATTTGCAGCTCATACACTGACTTCTAAATCTCTTGCACTGATTACAGTAAAATTGTTGGATAATCAACAAATTGAAATAAGTGTAAATTGTGAAAAAATGGTTATAGGATCAATGTTACTCAATGAAATTAAAGGGTATTTGCAGTAAAAATATTGATAAGGAATTTAAAAGTTATAAAGTTTATGGTTAAATAATTAAAGTAAAAACAAATGTTAATATTTGTAATATTGAATTTCTAGAATGAGTTATGCCACGTCGATTCCATTTCATTCCAGAAAAATTTTACAGTTGGATAAATGTATATTTATACTTCTTCGATACTTCGGTAATGAACGAAAAATCCATTTCACAAAATGAACTATTTTCTTTAATAAATACTCACTACTAATTTTTCCCTGACTTTTTCAAATTAAACCAAATCAATTTAGCCGATCCTTCAATGCCTCCATTTTCAATTTCCCAAAAAGATAATCGAAATTCTTTATGTTTAGATAAAAATTTATGCAACAATCGTAACATCCCTTCTGATATGGGCTTTGAAAATCCAATATCATCATTTGGATAGTTTTCAATTACATTATATAAAATTTCTAATCCTAATCCTTTATTTCTAAATTTTGATCTAATGTAGGCTGTATCTAATGTATTCATTGAGTATGCATAAGGAGTATTGAATATTTTAGTTCCTGTGAAAATAATTTTATACAAAAAATATTTACTGAGTTATATTTTCTAACAAAAAACTTAATTCAAATATATTCAATCAAGTCTTAAATAATTTACCTTTTCGTTTGACCGTATAAAATCCAACAGGTATTCCTTGTTTCCACCTTAAATAAATATCATCTGTTTCATCAGCACAATCGTAAATTGATTCGAATTTATCCTTGACTGGATGATCCATTTCAGGATAAATGATTTGACTTAGAATATAGTAAACAATTTTGTCTCGATCGCTGTTAGCCTATAATTATTTAATATAATAATCAATTGAATATAATCAATATAGACATATTAAAACAAAATAGTCGTTTATTATTACTTTTTTCCATCCATTTTCATTATAAGTATTAACAGTAGTATCAATATTAATGATTATATGTTTTTCAGTAACTCCAATAAAGGTTTTGCAAATCTTACAATTTATTCGTTGAACATTTTTAATGTTATCAATCAATTTTATATTAAGTTGTTGTAAATAAATCGATTGAAATTGATTGCATCTGTTTTCATAACAAAATCAGTATCAATGAACATTTTAAAAAAAAAAAATTTTATAATTACCTTTTACAAAACATGGTTCAAAACGATGATAATTTTATATTGATCAAATATGGTGATAATCAATTGTAATACAGTATATGCATTCAATCGCTATCTTTGAGAATGGCAAGTACAAACGTTTATCAATGTGATGTACAATTGGATAGATTAATGCGATAATGACGTATCAAGTAAGTAGTTCTATGATATACCACTTAAACGTTGTGAATACTAGTTAACATTTGTATCAATTCACATTTAACAATAATTTTTTTTAATTTCAACAAAATGAATAAAAAACATATGTATAAATATAATTATCGAATAAGTATCAAATAATATTAGAAACGAATAAATTTAAAAACGATAATCGGCTTCAAGGTCAGACCCATCATCAAATGAATCATCAGAATCAAAATCTTGTTCAAGAGCCGGGAAAACTATCTCATCATCCTCGTCTTCTTCTTCATAAACAACACCTTGATAAAGTTTCTGAAAGCATTTAGATTGAGGATTTTGATAATGAAAGTACGGCATACTTCTACTCAATTGTGCACCACATGTCCAACAAAAATAAGTGTTACATTTGTTGCAGGTCATTTTATTACAACCGTCCAGTTTCTGAAATTAAAAATAGTAATACGCAAAATGTAAGTCAAAATTTTATTTTAACAAAATAATTACCTCAATAGCTGCTTTACAATGGGGACAATTTCGACTATTGTTGTGTAACCAATTTTCAGATAAAATATTTTCTACAAGGAATTTTAATTTTTGACCATAACGATTTTCTAATTGCTTTTTTTGTTCTTGAGACCCGTTAAGATACTCATTAACGAGCTTTTGTTTATCTCCTATACAAAATAAAATTTCAAAATTAATTAATTAAATCAAATATGTAGTTTTAAATATATGTGAATAGAATCATAAATAAAGTATTTAAAAAATTACCAAGTGCAATTTTACAAGGCTCTATTCCATGATAAACCATTTTACAATAAATACAAAAAACATAGTTACAAGCTGGGCAGCTTGCCATTTTTTCATTTGGTTCTTTGCTGACAGGGTACTGACAGTGACGCCTAGGGCAGTAAACAATATCCAGCATTGTATCTAAAGTGGTTGTGAGTAATATAGAATCATACTTTGCAAATAACTCTGGGCTAACTAAGTCTTTGATTTGTCCTGGAAGAGCTTCCGATTTACATTTATCTTCTGGACAACAAATGTTCATAACAGAGCCGTCTTTTATTCTGACTTCTAAGTATCCAGCAATACAGTCTTTACAAAAAATGTGTAAACAAGGTTTAAATTGTGTACATGATTCTCCAGACTTATCTGTAAAACATATTTTACAAGTATAAAAATTTTTCTTAAATTCAATTTCCATCCTCTTCTCATTATAATCCAATAAAGTCTGTAAAAGATTCTCGTTTGATGATCGACTAACAATTGCTCTGTTATCAAATCTGGAATATCGTTTTGTATTTTTTTGTTTTCTATGTAATAAATTCTTCTTTACACCTCTTTTGTGATTTCTATCAATTTGATCTGTATGAGGTTTTTTGATTTCATTTGGCTCCTGTTTACATTCTGATATTTTTTTATAGTAAGTATATGCATCTGTAATATCCAGACAATTCTGTATTTTTAAGAAATCAAATAGATCATTTTGAAGAAAAGCTGTCCATGTAAAAATAATTTCTTGACCTCTATTATTTTGCCACAATCGGTCTAATTTTCTACATAATTTAGATAATGAAGTCAAACGCAACCAAGGGCAACATAATGTAAATTCAGGTGGAGATTCATGTGGATAATTATGAGGTAATGTGACATGTAAAACAATTGGAGGTAGATGAGCAATTGGTACTTTCTCCACGGGATCTTCTTTATTTCTTCTATCTTTATAGATTAAGCAATAATCATCTAACAACGATGTAAATATTTTCAGGACACAGTGAAATTGTCCATCGATATCGTGGAACGAAAACTCTTCATCGTTATAAATACTTTGCAATGCAATTATTTCATCTTTTTGTTGTTCATTCGGCATTTTCTGTAAAAAATTATATTAATAATATAAATTAGAAACTACATCTTTATATCATTTCTTCATATTAAATCAATAATTTTTACTTACATATCTGATAAAAATATATAGAAGTAGTACCTTTATATTATACACAGAGGTTATTAATTATTGGTGAGTTGCAATTGAAAATGAGCCAGTACATTTATAAACACAAGATTTGAAAATTAAAGATTACTTGTGAATATTTGTTTAAAATGACAACTCATTTTGATTAAAAAAATATTAAATTACTCTTTGGACATAACTTTACGTAAAATTTAGAATGACAGCACATGTAGAAATTTACAAAGGAGAAGAAATCGTGTTTTTGTAAAGAATGTTGTAACCAAATAATAATAATACTCGGATAATTTCCAATGCATTTTTCGCTATAAGTACATACATATGTAGAAATCGCGACATCTGTAATCGTCAAAAAGCGGTTCAAGCTGAAGTTATCTGACAGCCAATTCAGCCGCTCAACATCAAAATTTTTAGAAAATCCTTATTACTTTTTGCTTCTGCTGGACAAAAGTGTTATATATTGTTTATTTCTAGTTATATTGTTTATGATTCTTATAAATAATTATATTAAGTATTGCATAATTTACAAAGAATCATACAATTTCAAATACATTTTTATTTTGATTATAATAAATAAAATCAAGTAGTAAATTTAAGGCATTCATTATTATTATGAAACAAGTGTTTATGAACTTTATATTATTTGTAAGTTTTCATTTGTATTACTACGTCTTAAGATTTATACATGTTTCATTTATCAATAATAAAAAAGTTTATTCTCAATAGCATGTTTACAGGTTACTTCATCTTGTACTTTTGCAGCTAATGAACAATTATTACATTATGTTAATGATAAAGTCTCTAGTGGTTCCTTCAAATATTACAGCTTGATGTATGATGGAGTAATAAAAATTATTCTACTATCTAAGTAGGTACATATATATTCATTCTAATTGTTTTTTTCAAAGAGTAAATATTATTCATTATATTCCGATTTGCTTCACTCAGGAAAGGTGATGCAGATTTATATATATCTCAATTAACTAGTAAACCAACATACGAACCTGATCAATATTGTATTCAATCAACAACTTGTGGGGATGATATCATATTAATACCACAAAAGTTCGTACTTATTCCACAGCATATCAGTAACTTGAAAAAATATACATTTGTAACTGAGAATAGTAAATTATATTTTAGTTTTAAACGTCCTGTCAGCATTGGAGTATACGGTCATCCATCTCATGAAACGAGTCAATACTATCTCATAGTTTATCATATATCTCTTTCTGCTGATGAAGATTTTGATGAACAAAGTCATATAAATAATTTAGAATTTCATCCTCGTAAAAAGGTACAATAATAATTTCTCAGGTACATCAATGCTATCATTAATATTTAATCTTTTTAGGTTACCAAAAAATCATTTGTATTAACTTTTTTGTGGACATTATTAGACGAATTGATTCAAGTGTTATTTTAAGAAAGATTGAAAGAAGCAATAAGCCATTGTAATCATGCTTGAATACGAAAATCAAATGTTTTTAGAAGTGCTCCAAGATGATGGACTTGTCATCACAGCCAAGTACCATCATTACTTCTCTTTTTAATTTTTTTATTTTAATATGATTTTCATTACATTAAGAAACTTTTCATAGGGGGCTAGGATTAGAAACAGTATTTATAAATATTTTAAAGGTATATTTAGATCCAGGAAATTTAGTGATCGTTCTTGGTACTCTAGATTATGATGAACAATATTTTATTGATAAATTAAAAGCAATGAATGTTCCAATGTTACCAAAAATTGTTACTGCTCAAAATACATCCAATGAAAGGTTTGAAAAATTAAATAATTAGATTATATCTTTTATACTATCGTTGAATTTTTACACATTTTCAGGGAAATAATGTATCTTGAAGGAGGTGTACTATTTATATCTGGTCGAATATTAGTTGTAGATTTATTGAAAAATCGTGTTCCTTTAAATTTAGTAACGGGGATATTAGTTTATAGAGCTCATGGAATCTTGAATAATTACCAAGAAGCTTTTGCTTTACGATTATACAGACAAAACAATAAAGTAAGTATTACAATTAAGATAGTTTTGAATTTTATGAATATTAATGATAATAAAAATTAATGAGAAATATTAAAAAGTAATTTATAATTAGAGCTGAAGATCATTATTAATTATATGGTAATTTTAATTGTAGAAAGGATTTATTAAAGCATTCACCAATTCCGCCTTGGCTTTTATGATGGGTTTTACTCAGGTAGAACGTGTAATGAAAGCGTTATTCGTGAAAGAATTATATCTATGGCCACGATTTCATACAGTAGTGAGCAGTAGTTTATCAAAACATAAACCAGAAGTCATAGAATTACATGCAAAATTAACCCATAAAATGTTACTTATTCAAACGGCTCTTCTTGATATCATGAACTTTATTGTTAAAGAATTAAAAAGACTTAATAAGTATTTAGATCTAGATGAATTATCAGTTGAAAATGCGATTGCTAAAAAATTTCATAAGCAATTACAGTCGCAGTTAGATCCGATCTGGCATCAACTAGGATCTAGTACAAAGCAGCTGGTTGCTGATCTTAAATTACTTGGATATTTTCTAGGGTAGGCCATTAAAAAAATTGTAATAAATATTATTATAAATTTATTTTTATATTCATGGTAAAAAAAAATTAATTTTAAATTATTATTTCACAGGCAATTAACTCAGGAAAATTCAGTTGCTTTTTATGCGATGATTAATCGTCTTAGAACTGTTGAATATGCAATGAAAGGTAGTGGATGGTTAATTTTAGATGCTGTTGATGATTTATTTGTTCATGCCAAAAGCCGTGTTTACAATAATAAGAATGGTAATATTTTATTTTTTATGAATTTCAAATAATAACATTTTTTCACTAATGCGAGATATTTTTAAGTAGAGCTCAGTCCAGAACCATGTCCAAAATGGACCGCTTTGAGTGAAATTCTTGGCGAAATTCGATTGGAAATAAATAAAAAGAAAAATAACTCAGAAAGTGCTAAAAAAGTATTGATTATCGTTTATGATGGAAGAACAGTAGTCCAATTGAAGAATTATTTAACAATGGGAGCTGGTCAATATTTGCTTTATGAAGCAATAAGACGTTTAAAAAAAAATGAACCAGTAAAGCCAAGGTAAAAACTTAATTTCTTTCTCTTAATTGCATATGGACTCTTTATTAATGTAATAATCAATATTTTCATTTTTTAGTAGCAGTACTGACAAAGGAAAAGTACTAGAAAATAAAGGCAATTCAGAGAATCAGGAAATAGAGGAGGATTTAAACCATGATAGTTACGTACTTACTTTTTCACAGAAGCCTCTAGAAGAACCTAAGGAATCTGAAAGGAAGAATGATCCTGAGGAAAATTGTAAAAATTATTTTGAAGAATGTTCACTGGTAATTATTCTTCTAGTGAAAATGATAGTTTTTTCTTTATTTTCTCTTTAATTTTTTGTCAGATTGAAAATTATGATACTTCAAGTTTGTCAAATTTTGAAGATCCAATCATCGTTATTCAATATGTTAAGAAAGGTGGAGATCCTCTAGCTCTCCAAAGGATTTTATATGAATCAACGCCAGGTTTTGTAATAATGTATGGTGCTGATATTTCATCGATTCGTCAGCTGGAGGTTTTTAAGAATATAGCTCTTAAATTTTGAATGAATAAGAACTTTATGATCATTTTTCTAATTAAAATTTTCTCTAGGTTTATCAAAATAATAATCCATCAATATTGCTAAAAATATTTTTCCTTATTTACGGAGGTTCTGTAGAAGAACAGGGATATTTAACATCTCTCCGTAGAGAGAAGGAAGCTTTCGAGAAATTAATTCATACAAAAGCGGTAAATTTATTCAACTATTTATCCAATTAACTTATCCGCCAGCGACAATGATGAAGGAATCCTATAAATATTTCATCCACCAGCTTCGTTGTTCCTTGTCAACCCTATTCATTCTAACAAAGAGATTCAAAATGAAGATTTTCCTTTAAATAAATAAGACTTTTTCATTCTTTTAATAATAAAATTTAACAATAGGTATTATAATAAAATATTGAAAATTAATTTACAGACAATGGTGGTGCCGACAGATCAAGATGGGAAAATGGAAGGTAGTGCAACAATTGAAGAAGAAACAGTAGAACAAAGTTCTCGTAAAGGTGGCCTTGGAGGCAATTCAAATAAAATAATTCATAAAGTGATCGTAGATATCCGAGAATTTCGTAGTGAATTACCTGCACTATTGCATAAACGAGGCATAGAAATAGAACCGGTAACATTAGTGGTACGTAATTAGAATTTTTTTACGAGCGTTGACTAATGAGCTTATTATCATGTAACCATCTATTAATTAAGTAATGTCTATTCGCGTTATGTCTAATAATAGATAGGAGATTATATTCTTACACCAGAAATTTGTGTCGAAAGAAAAAGCATATCTGATCTTATTATGTCCTTAAATTCTGGAAGATTATACAATCAAGCAATTTCTATGACTCGCCATTATGAAAAACCCATGCTCCTTATAGAATTTGATCAAAATAAATCATTTTGTTTACAGGTAATTTCATTGTTTTCTTTTATTTTGTCTGATTTTTTATCAATTAATTAAAATATAAATAAATATATTTTAGGGTAATTACTATGTCAGCAGAGATATGAAAAGCTCAGACGTCACTGCTAAATTACAATTACTCACATTACATTTTCCTAAATTAAAAATTGTTTGGTCACCAAGCCCCACAGCTACATCTCAGTTATTTGAGGAACTAAAGCAAGGTAAAGGACAACCAGATGGCCAAGTAGCCGCACAAATTGGTCTAGAAGAAGATACAGATGATAAAAAAATAATGAGTGAACAATATAATACTCAAATTCATGATTTAATTGCTAAATTACCTGGAGTTCATTCAAAAAATTTACGAAGTATTTTGCATAAAGGCGTTTCACTCGATAATATATCAAAATTAACAGAGGTTTATAGTTTTTTATTATAATGTGACTTCTCCCATTTTGTTTATATAACTTATCTTCAACGATGATAGATAATATTTAATTTATTTCATTATAGGAAGAATTAGAAGATTTAATGGGGAATAAAGTTAATGCGACAATGTTGTACAATGCGTTACATAAAAAATATAAACCAGAAGAAACTAGTAAGGGACCAGTAAGTAAAGCCGCAACTAAAGTACGTACTAAAGGATTATTTTCTTCTAAAAAATAATGTTCTTTCTTTTAAATTAAAAAAAAGTGAGATTTAGATCAAAAAATTCACTTAAATTTTTTTGATCCACTTATACAATCAATGATTTATTAATTAAAAACTATAAATTAATTCAATAAATATGTATTTTCATAATTAATTCATCAATATAGAATAAGATAAATGTTTTTATACTTTTCATAATTGCTATGAACATCCCCTAGAAATAATTAAATCATGATTAATACCTTGGGTAAAAAATCTATTAGTTACGGTGAGTATTTGAGAAAATGAAATTTAATTTACATTTCTATGTCATTTTCATCGTCACTATTGGAATCCAAGTGATAAAGAAATGAATCCGTTTCAAACATGGGAAAGTAAAATCTGTTAAGAAAAAAAGTAGATGTGTAACTCTTTCTATTATACATAACCAGGTGAAAATTCTATTGGAACTTACTCAGGTTGATTCCAGACTCTCGCTGCCGGTATTTTAAAATGATCTTTGCTTTTCATATGTTCCAGTATATTATCAGATTCTTTGTCACAGTAAACACATTTTTTCTCGTATATTTGTTTTCTTATATAATTTACCACTTTTATCTATTAATAAACAAAAGCTTAAAGATTAAAAAATGCTTTAAATATTGGTTGGTTATTGTTTCTTTCAAATATTGATTAGTTTTTTTTGTAAATCAGAATTAAAATTACCTTTTCGTAAAAATTTAAATTTTTTGTTGATCTCTCAAAATCAAAATCGTGCTCTGTTTTCATATGATCAAGTATAGCTGACAACTCTGAAGTTATTTCTGAACAAAATAAACAGGTTACTCCGATACTTTCATCATTCCAATCACTCCATGAATTGTCTTCATCTTCATTGTCACTAAATCCGGTAGATTCTTCTGCATCATCAGATGCATTCTGCTGAAATAAGAAAAATATTTATAAATTAATTGATAAAATTTTTAGAAGATGAATACTTTCATTCTAAAATTATACCTGTCTTCTTCTCCACGTGTTTTCTGGTTCTAAATAATTTGTAATATAAAATTGATCATAAGTTCTATTGTTAGGGTTTATACGTTTGTGCAATTTTTTTCTCATGTGTTCCTTTAAAACAGTTCGATCCTTGAAAATTTTTTCACAGTAAATGCAAATTAAACTGGAAATGACAAAAGAGAATTTTCAGTTTTATTTAAATTTTTATGCTTCAGAGTAACGTGTGTCTTTTTTGTATTAATAATAGAAGTTATTATAATAAAATAACGTTACTTTTATCTCAGAATAAGATAAAGGTAATGTATGGAAATAGGTCGACACATTTTTATATAAAACAGAGAAACATTTCCGTGTGAAATATTCGTATTTCACATTATTCATATAAATAAACTCTTACTTTTCAATGTTATATTGAATTTTATTCAAGAACTTGTCAATAAAAACCAAGTTATCCACTTTTCCAAGTTGTAAATTATGTTTTTCTGATAGATGCTTTAAATATGTAGCTCTTAAACCGTTAAATTCCATTCTACAAAACATGCAACCACGTTTAAAATTTGTATCAGTTCTTTCTTGAGATTGCTGAGCGAGTGCCCACTCCTAGAATAATTAATTATAATGTTTAATTATCAAAGTAACTATATCATTTAAGGAAAATATAAAAACGACGTTTACCAATTTCACCCTTCGTAATTCATCTCGGAGTGTTTTATCTTCTGTTATACAATCGGACAATAAATAATATACTTCATTTTTACTAGGCTTCCCATCTGGAGTACAATCCATTAACATTGTTGTGCAGAAAGTTGTTAATGGTTCGTCTTTCATTTTTATCCTCCAGTAATGGATATAACTTGAAGTCATAAATAGAGAATAATTATTCATTACTGTTAGGATGGTTTATTATTAGTAAAGTTTTAGAATACCTTCTTAAGCTAGCAATTTTCCAAACATCTCCAATGATTAGTCGATGTTCTTCAAACAAGTGCGACAAAAATACTTTCTCATTTGTTGGGAGAATAAAAGTGAGATTACATAGTAAACATGGTGATTCACCTGGATCATTTTCTATTCCAACAAACTGAGTTTTTAGATGAACTGTCGATTCAACATTAGTTTCACTTTTTTTTTTATTTACAGTGTTATCTGTCAAATGAATTAATATTATTGTTTGTGAATAAATTTAGGTATAACAATATTATCGACTAGTTTTTTTTGTTATAATATTATATTAGTCAAACCTGCTGTTGTCATTTTGTTTTAAAATAGTAGTTGAAAAATTGAATATGTTAATCTATATAATGATGATAATTTATATAAATAAATTCACTATTTTGTGCAATATCTGTTTTTGACTCACATTATTATTTTTAGGTTATAATTTACGTTGGCGGGTCTTTTTGAAATCTATCAAGTGAATTCCTGAATACAAGAGTAACTTGAATAACTATAATAAATTTTATCAAGTAAACATTTTTCATAATTCAATTTGGTTGAGTTAGGAGTAAATAAATGTGAGTGTTTATTTTCTTGATGAATTTTATTTAAATGTAAATTTTCTCTTTACAATTTAAAACATTTTATATCTTATATACTAGTAAAAGTTTGATGATGAATTCGATAAAAAATTCATTTATTTACATGGTTAATTATATTTAATAGATATTGTATACATATATTCAAAAAAAGTCGTACAGTCAACTACTGTTGATGATAATAGTATTTTTTAATTCGATTTTCATATTCGAATTTTATTGCAGCTGGATATTTAATCAAATTTTTGATTTTTCGCTTTATTTTTATGTAATCCATATAACAGCATCAAATGACACATATGCAAACCTGCACTACTCCAAACAGTACTTGGATATACATTCCAACACAATTCAATAATTCCCAAAATAACAATTCTTGTAACAGGTAAATAATGTGTGCACCATGCAATATAAGGAAGAGTATGATAGTACCAAAGATAAAATTGGTAATGTAAAGATCGACTAAAAACCATTCCAAGAAAATTGGAAGCAAATAATGGTCCAATAAATAACTGACTGAGAGTCGACATATCGACTTGAGTATCTTTCTTCATTTGAGACTTTAATTCTTTACCAATCATTTTTAATTTAGCATAACATCGCATGTAAGTCATCCAGCTGGGAATGAAGTAGACAATTGATGCCAGGTGTAAACATAATAGAGCTACATGAAACGTAGAATTAAGAAAGATTTCTTCAGGAATAATTCTCCAATTTACAGTCCATTTATATTCAAAAACGCGTCCAAAATTAAATGCTGCTGCTATATAAGAATAAGGATTTGTCAATAAAAATGGCAGTCCTAATATCACTTGAACAGTGCCACAAACTGCTAAATGAAACATTGTTTTTAATAATCCTAGATTGCATAAATACGCTATCAGTAATGCTGGAGCAAATAGTAATATGTTCATTTTCACTGACACAGCTAAACTATACATCACACTTCCCCAAAACCATCGGTCATCTAGAAAAGCATTTAAACTTGCAAATAAAAATATCATAGCAATAGAATCATTGAACAATCTCAGTACAAATATTGAATGGACTCGGTATGATGTACAAAAGATTAAAATTAGTACATAAGGAGGTACTTTTTTCGTTTTGGCATAAATACGGAACACTTGAATTAATAATGTAATGTAGAGTAAAGCAAACACATATTGGCCTGCTCTGATGTCTTCTCCATGAGATGTAAAGTAATAGAGAATTGTATAAATGTAAACAAAACCAGCTGGATACACTAACGGCCCAGTATCTCCTTTTAATTTAGCATAATTTAGCGTTCCATTAAGAAATCCTTCAACCTGTTGCATATAAGCTCTCCAATCAATCTCTGTATAGGAAACATTATGAATTACTAGGATGTTCAAAACAATTTCCACTATCACAAATACTCCAGCAATAAGTGCCAACTTTTTGGGATCAGTCAAGTATGATAATAACTCAGATAATTGATTTAATTTCGCGTATTTCTTAATCCAACTTGATAAACTCTTAAAATTTTTTCCAGATGTTTGAATAGCTCTCTTTTCCTTGTGAGCTGCCATCATGTTTATTCTACCTTTACAAATCTGGGTAGGCTCGTTTTTTTTAGACAAGCTCAGACCCCCGGCCACACTGACATCTCCACAATAATCGCCTCCCTGGGTTAGATAATTTTGTAGAGGGACCTGTAAAATGAAAAATACCAGAATGGAGACCCCTTGTGAAACATACTTTAATAGTTTGCTCGATCGGTTTTTCAGATATTCTGGCAAACTATATCACTTTTAATCATTATTAGTTATTAAATTATTTAATAATTTTTGAATTGGTCAACACTATATATTTTTTTGATTGATTAAAAAATCAATAATTATGAAAACAAAATCTCCTTTTACTAAATGTGTAATAAAATATATTGTAAGATAAATAAGATTGAGTTATATTTATTTTCAACATTTTTTAATTGAAAAAAAAAAAAAAAAACAATTATTTTCTTTCAAAAATAATTTTATGCGTTAAATTATATGAATATTATTTTTAATATATTTACCTTCTTATTTCTTTTAGTTTATTGTCTCAGTATTTTTCACTTTTATAGTGGAGCAAATGTATTTTTTTATTTTTTAATAAAATTTTTAAAAATAATTAATTGTGAGAGGTTATAATTTTGATACGTTCAAAATTTGAATTAGTTAGGAACTTTTAAATTAAAAAATCAATAGTTTCTAATTAACTAGTTATAGAATTAAATATTTTAATTAAAAAAAAAAATTCATTAAAAGCTTAAAAGCATACTTTAATTTATTTAATTAAATAAAAATGTATAGTGTTATGGTTCATTTTGATCATCCATAACAGTTAACTGAAGTTGGCATGCGCAAGTGTGTGAGCGTTAGCAAAGTACTAGCGAGTTCTCAAAAAGACCGTAGTTCTCACGGTGGCGCTAGAATCTGAACAAAAGAGAATGTACGATGGTGTCTCGACGCCTCCGTAATTGTCAATAACTCGGCTTAACAAAAAATTACGTATATTTCAACGAAATAAAATAGAATATTATTTTACATAAATATCAAATAAAAGTTCGAGTTACCATATATATTGTGTAATTATTATTTAACCATTTTTTAATACGAAATTAAGTGAACTTAATTCTCCAGTTGTCGGTTATTCGTTTGTTGTCTTGGCTTTCATACTGACAAACTGGGGTCTCGACAAAAAAAAGTGTTGTGAAGTTATTCATTTCCAAAAATACCATTTTTAAATGACTTAGAAGTGTTCTCGGGACATTTAATGATAGTGTTAAGAGATATATTCTTATTTTCCTAATTAATTGTTAATGTATTATAAATAGTAATACTACAACTTTAAGTAAGCATTTGGAGTAAGAATAAGCTGTTAGAAAAAAAAAAAAAAGAAAAAAGAGTGAAAAATTCCAAATCTTTCAATTAATATCTTGAAATCAATTATCCGGCATTAATAGCAGCATACGAATGCAGCCTTGTATTGTTAGCACGTATTAAGATGTGAGTATATCTACTATTTAATTGATTAAAAATGAAGTCAAGCGTCTCTAGGATAGCCACAAGAACAATAGATATAGATAATAATAGATAATCTACGTAATTTATTATATACTACATAAAAATATTTGGTCTATATAAATAATTGCCATAATTCATTGTATTCCTATTAAAATTCACTGAATATTGATAAACTTTCTTTCTAATTAATTACTATAATAGAGGTTTAATTTGCACATCAATAGTAATTTAATTAACTGTCAGTAAACAGATAAGTTTAATTGCCTCAATTTTCGTTCTCTATTTATTGCATTTGTTGTTCAATCAATCGAAAAATAAAATCATAAAATAATTATTCATTTATTGGGTTTCGGATACAAACGAAAACCCTAAATGTCTAATTATAATTAAATTGCAGTTATAGTTGATCTAAACATCAATTATTTATCAATATGAAGTAAGACATTCTCAATAAGTTTTTTCATTCATGAAATCATTAATTTCTTATTTCAAAGAAGCATTTTTTGTCTAGATTATGAGACAAAACGAGTATATAATTTTAAAAATATCCTGTAGAAGAGTCTAATCATTTCTAATAATTAGAAAAATTGAAACAAAAAATTAAAAAATTCATTCAGCTAATGGTTTGAGTTTTTGAATGTTGGAATGAAGTGAATGCTTGTTAATATCATTTTTATAATATCCTCTAGCAATTGTTGGAATGTATACAAAACACTTCATTTTGTTAATTATCCAGTATATTCTAGTGTAACGAATTCATTCATTCAATAACACTCATTTCTCAACGTTACGAGATGATTTAATTTTTATTTATGTTTTATGAATTATCAAGATTTATTTTGGGATAATTTCTTAATAAATTGGAATACATATGTGACAGTTATTTACCTGTCGCGTATTAGGAGCAATTGAAAGCTATGAATCGATACTGCAATTTCGTCTCATCGACATCATATCCGTCCTTTATAATTGGGCAGATTGAAACACGCGAGAGTACAGGACGAGGCTGCAATTGCTATGCTATATGGGTGAGAGACGTGAGTCACATGTATGGCCTCGAATGATACATCATGGATTCTTTATTACAGTTATTGATGTACAACCGCTAGTGCGTTTTATAACATAATGGTACAAGTTGTAAGTTTGAATCTTCAATTCAATACTACAATTCCTCTTCTAGCATGAAATTGAAGTAGATATACTTTACGTTTCACTGGTTATTACAGACTGAACATTTTTCTCAGCTACATAAATCAATTTTTGTCACTCACATTACCATCAGCATTATTTAAAGTTTTTTTTGCCTTTTTGGTTACACTCCAGCTATAGCCACTTGAAAATATCTAGCGCGGTTTTAAGAATCAGCTGACAGCACACAATCAATGATTCTATCGATGTTCGACGATATTGTGGTGTAATGGTGTTAGTGGTCAACCACAAAATATCGACACTAGGTATTATTAGTTGATTTGAGAAATTTATAAATGTTGAATTAAAAACTACGATTTTATTGTGAAATTTCATGTGAAATAGCAATACAATTATTGACAATTGTTTAAGAAATATTGTTGATGTCTGTTTTTATTCTTTGAAGAAGAAAAAAGTCAAGAGATTAAATTGTTTTAATTAGTTTGATGCATTTATAAAAACATTTATTCATATGATATTAGAAGCATATTTGACTGACGTTCTTAAATGACATGTACAATTTACTATGTACGTGCCTCAATTATCCTAATTAATTTAATAACAATTAGCAGAACTGGTATTTAGAGATATGGAAAGTGGAATCATTTTCAATATCATGTGATATGTATTTTTACTAACAGACAATATTGTCATTTAATTTATAATCAATTTAATTTGGCTACTATCGAATATTTAAAACAATTTTTACATAAACTTTTCAAACAATGAATCAATATATAATCTCATTAGATGATATTTCAAATAAAATGAAACATTAGAAATAAATTCATTTTAAAACATGTATTATTATTTCATTGTATTTCTCAATATCTTTTTAATTAAAGTAAAGCAATTGAGCTTCATTATTTTTAATTGAAAAAAAGAAAATTTTCGAGCAACATATGACTCATCTAGACTTATTTCATGCTCAAATTATAAGAACATTCGACTTAACATGAAAAATATTTCATCATATGTTTTGTCTATATGTAACTGTGCTACGTCTTGTAGAATAAAAAATTTACTATTGTAAAAGAAATCAACAGTAGCACTAATGGATTTATTTTTGATGTATGTTTATAAAGTAATTTATGCTTAGTGACTGTTATTACACAGCAGTTTTCAACATATGGTAGCAAGAGTGAGATTAAATAACAATTTCTCTTATGATGCAGGTGCGAGGAGGCTACGGAGTTGGAGACGCATCATCGACAAACAGCAACAACTACGATGGGCGTCGCTGAAGATGACACGCCGTCTTCGTTGACTTCTCATCTCAATGCCAATCACAATAACCTTAGCCAAGAAGGTAAGTCTTGAAAATTTATTTATTATTATATCACGTACTAAATGTATATCCTTTATGTCTAATATTTACTGATAACAATTGAATTATCTCATCATCACACCTTTTATGTCACACAATTAACTATCGGTAACATGAAACAAAGTAAATGCTATGACATCATGTTGCTGAAACAAAATCTATTCTTAGAATTCTCTGTATATTAAGCCTATATCGTTAAACTAATATTTTACTGATTAAAAGTCACGTACTTACTGTGGCAAAAATGTAGTCGAAGCAACTTAACTACATTGTGGTAAGATGAAGTCAAGTATCAGTTGACTAAATATTTTTCATTATCTATTTAGCATATTTAACACTTGAACGATGTCTTCTGATTAAAAAAATCTCAAATTCTTTTATTTTCTAAAATAGAGATTTATAAATATCATATAGATTAAATTAAAAAGTTTAATTAAAACCTTTTTAAAAATTATTTATTGATAATGGATATTGAATATTCCAATACAATAAGCTGAAAAGAAAATTTATCTTTAGATAATAATTTTAATATCATAATTTAAAGAAGAAAAAATCTTTTTTTATAATTTTTCTGTAAGTTTTATCACATGAAAACTAATTAGCCTGATGTAATTCGTAACAGAGATTTGATATCTTTTATATAAATTTGAGAGAAATTTTTTTTGTAATTTCATTTTCATCATTTTCTTTTAGATTAGTAATTAAAGTAATAGTTGAATACTTGACAAATATTAATCTTAATTAAAATCAACCATTTTCCACATAATTTCATTGTTCCATTTATAATTTGTCTTTTTAATGTAGGGTATCACATTTTTAGTAGAACAATGTAAATAAAAAAAAAAAGACTAAATTAAAACATTCCAAGACCAATTTTGTCTTAACTTAAGATTCATTATTTTAGGCTTTTAAATCTTACATGACGAAATCCATTTTATGTATCTATTGTCATTGAAATATTTCCTGTTTAACCATAAAAATTTTTAAATTATGTGCATTTTTTATCACTTAAACACCGCGTATAGTGTATTTGACATTATCCAAATGTTTATTGTGGACAGGAAAATAAATTATAAAAATGACAATTCACGAGAAATGTCGAAATACGACAAACGCTATTAAAACTCCCACAATTGCTATTCATACATAAGCTTTGTTAAAATCCTTTCTTTACTCACAACAGAATAGCTCGGTTACAGTACTACAATTCTAGGTCAAGTCTGATGCTTGGCACTGTCGTAGATTAATTTATCTGTCATTAATATAACACTAAGAGTTAAGAATCTACCATATTTGATTTAACTCAAAGCTAAAGTGATTTATAAAATATCAGAATGTTTTATTGCTTAGTAACTTATTTTGACAGAAAAATTCTCAAGTTTTTGAGTTGGGAATAACTTCAATTGAAAAAGAAAATCTTGAAGGTATAAAAATGATATTATTGGAAATTTCAAATAAAATATTTATTCAAAGGATCCAAATTCAATTCTTTTGGGTTTTCAATTATTAAGAACGAAATTCTTTTCTTCTAAATAAAATAACACTTGAGAGTACTTTTATCAAATATTTATCGAGTTTAAAATAACGATTAGGTATTATAAATTTATATTTTATTCAGTCAGGAAACTTTCCTTCAACAGACGGGCTAGCTCTATTAGCAGTTGGCTGAAAAGTATGATTGTTTAATTGAATATTTCATTATTTAGAATAAATAGATTTTTTAATGAAACAATAATTTCAAGTAATATTTACAGAATACTATAAGATAATTGAAATCTCATTATTCTTCATCTTCTCGAGTTTAATACATCTTGTTTTCTCCAACTATAAACTTTCAGACACTCGAGCCGTCTTCTGATGTATCACATTAGATGACTCCCTTACTTAACCCGTGAATATATTTACGCTTTACTAGATATACTAGATATGCTGGAAGACTCATTCCGTTGCAATCTGAAATGAATACCATGCATTATAGTCATGACCTCTTAATAGTTAATTACCTTGAGCGTTAATTAATTAATTATTCATATGTATATATTTATTTGCTCTCTTTCGGGATAAAATATTTTGACCTTTCTAATAGTTAACAAAGAACTATGTATTCTAACTTAATATTTGATACTAATTCAAATTCAATTAGAATGAAATTTTCATATGACAGTATAATCAATTCTCATTAAAATATTTCATCTGGATTAAAAGTTTAAAAATTGATAATGAAAATATTTGTAGCGGTAAAGTTTATTAATTAAAATCATTTTCCAACTCATTTTTACCCAATTCAAATTATTGATGAAGCAATAGGATACTTGTAAAATTGTTGGTAGACACTGAGTCTGCATTTAATGATGAAGAGTGAGTTTACACCGCCAACTTCTTTGTATTATGTACATATTTCAAGTCTCGCGGGATAAGAGATAGTAGAGTTGACGATAACGGGAGATAACTGAGGTAGGTTAATAATACCCTTTGCACTACGAAGCAAAGAGTGTACGTCGCAAGTTACACAGTGAGACGTGATTATTACTGATACACGAAAAAATATGGAACTTGGAAAAAAAAGAATTAGTTGGAATATGTAGAAATAAATGTACCTGCGTTAGTGATTATCTGATGGTTATGTGACGGAGGAAAAAAATAAAAGGACTCAAAAGCTATCCGAGAGGATCTTTAGTGTAATGACTCTCCTAGATTAAATAGACTAGAGCACATTGCGGTAAAGTTGACCGAGTTACGAACGAGAAACAACACAATGCCAATTTATTGTTCTTCTGCAAACTTTTTTAAAAATTTATATTTTTTTCTCATATTATTATCATGCACTTGAAGATAAAATTATATTTTTTAGACAAATGTAAGATTAAAGTAGATAAATAACATATGATATATTTTATTGTTTGATATAAATAATTATAAAATAATTAAAGAAACAATTAGTAATAATTAATATCAGTTGATATTTTTCTTTTTGAAAAATTGCGAAAATGTCACACTAAATTAATTAGTTTATCTTACAAATGATGTAAATAAATATTGTTCAACGTTTTAATTTATTTAATGAAAAATGTTTTCTGTGAGAATAAAATTGTTTCTGATTGCAGAGAGTAAGTATTAAATTAAATAGCGTACCATAGTTAGCTAGAAAAAAGTTTTTATTTATTTTTGGGTAATTTTTTTATTTAAAAACCGAGTTTAAAAGTGAAAAAGACTGTTTTAGTTTTATCAAAGAAAACTTCTTTTCCTCTCGCATCATTTTTTAATCAATTTCTTTTTCTCGGTATGTCTTGAGGGTTTTTATCGCAAAAATTTACAGTTATGATACTGAGAAATAAATGAAAAATAAAATATGTTGGTAGTCGCAAAGCCTCAAAGTAAAATCATTATTTTCAAAGCCTTGGCCTGCCATATGGAATTATAGTGATCATTTGGTACACCTGACGCATCTTTAACATTTCTTACCTATGTACTTAATCCCAAAGAATGATTGAATGCCTTTTCATGTATATTCATTCGTTATGTAGTACTAGCTCATATACAAAGTCATTAAATAAATTGAACAAACTTTTTCTCGTGTGTTAATCTGAACTTTATAAACGTTTATCTTTTAATCAAGTTTATGGAAGTTACAAAATATTATTTTTTGCTTTAATGAGAATTCAATAATCAACAATAATTTATAGTGCACAGAAAATAGAATATAGTATAGATAATCTAACAAAAAACTCATTTATACAACTGTGTACTTGACACCATATCTAATGAATTTTTTTTCAATAGGAAGTCTGTACTTTTTTTTAAGGAAAAAAATATTATATTAAATAAACCTATTGAATATAATGTGCTAATTGGCGTAAACAAATATATCTTAGATGCCATAAAAGAGATAAATTAGATGTCTTTAGAAAGATATTATATCAAAGAAAAATAGGAGAAAAAATGTAAAACTTCGAAATTCAATGATTCTTTATAGTATAATTGAGTTATGAAAATGCAATAAAAAATTTTGTAATAGTCACTTCGTTTTTCATTTAGCATTGCAACATAGCAAATTCACTGTAGAGTAAAAACAAAGCAACTAGAAGAGGGAGAAAGCGTTCGAATGTGTAGGAGGAGAACAATAGTGGTGGGAGAATGTTTTCTTGTCCAAGTCAAAGCTAAGAGTAAACGGATAGAATAAGAATGAAGTGAATACTTGTCAATATACAAAATAAGAATGAAAAATTCACGAGATATTTTGTTGATCAAATGAAAAAATAAAATAACGAATAAATAGTGGAACTATGTAAAACTAAAGAGAAAGAACATAAGGCGTGGTGTTATGTCTGTTGGTGCGTATACGACGAGCTACGGACTGGTTGTGCTGTTGTGGCTCTAGTATCGTTAGTCTCTCGGCGCTCTCCCGACAGTAAGTAGCAAGTCTTGACTTGGCCGGTTCCTTTCTTATGACTCGCAGTAGTTTAACATTATTAAGCATTCAAGTATTTCTCATCTTTCAACGTGATTTTCCATCGTGATAATACATTAGTTGAAGAAAAAATAATTGTTGGAAATGGGTTAATCCAAGGATTAAAAAATTTTTTCAATTTTTGTGGATTAGTGATCGTTAAGTGTTTGCGAATAATTATAAGGAAAGATTCGCATTACATTGTGAAAATCGTGAAAGCGTTGGGGCGCACGCGCGCGTGGATAAACGGGTGACTGGCGAGTGGGAGAGAAAGCCGGGCCGTATAATCTATTTGGTGACGCGATATATTGAGATACGTACACGAGGTATAACGGGCATGAGTAACAATAAAACACGCGAGTTATAGAAAAAAAGTATACGTGTGTTGAATTGCTTAATGACAATTAAAAAGGTTGTATACAGGTTGCAGTAAAATAATTGCAAGCTTCATATTCTGGTGTCTCTAGAGTTTTTTAGCAATTCAACTCAACTCATCAGGAAGTGTTTCGGCGGGAAACTGACTGTGTAACATCCTGGTGGATTGTGATTTTACATTTATTTTCAACAGAAACGTACATTGGCATAACAAAGTCATAAGTGACTTCCGTGAATATCTGGAGTCTGGTGAAAAATTGCTTGTTGGAAACCAAGTGAGACAGGGGTACATAGAGAAGAAGAGACATAGATACAGAGAAGAAACGAGTGGAATGACCGACAATCGCGTGAAATGCGAGGCGTCTCGACATGTCGTTCGATTCGCCATTTTCAGCGATCATATATTTACACTAAGTGTATTTACATGCGTCTTATACAAAGTTCAACACGCTGTCGCATGAACAGCTGACTTGATTGTAGGGAAAAACGGAAATTCGATCGCTCAAACTGAGAACTCTTCGAGGTCATCTGCATTTTCAAACAGTTGTTAGTCAAAACTTTAAAGAAATTAACTACAACTTTATCTACTAAAAAACGACATAATTTTAATAGGTAATATGAACGATTTTTAAATTGTCAGTGACAACTGCATAAACAACTTCAAGTGCAACAGTCATAGCTACTTTAATAAATATATATACATATATATTTTTAGTTCACAGTCCTTGAAGAAATACATAAATTTAATTAATTGATCAAGAGAAAATTGATGTGATAACCAATTTCTAAGCTTGTAAATTTCTAAATTAATTGAAAAAAAAATATTCACACTTACGTAATCATTTAAAGTAAATGCATCGACAGAGCTTTCGTCAATGGCCTTCATTTCTGCTTGTGTGCAAGTTGCTTGCGTGTTCGTGAGTGTCACGCAAATGCGAAGAGTGCTGCCTCATCAACGGTGTCAACAGTGGTTGTTGCTCTCAACACGTATGGATAAATACTGAAATTAAATTCAAGGTTAATAAGGAAATAAAAGAATCTGTGATGATTTTGTACTGTCTTATCAGTTATCTGTTTCTTATCAACAACACGTTATAATTTGATCAGTAGCCAGACTGTTATTAACTACTGTGGCATTCCATTTTTACAATGAATCCCAGTGATTATTATAAAAGGAAATATATATTATTGACATAAATATTCATACAAGTCAATATAATATCGAAAGGGTGATTAAGTACGTAATGAAATTGAAAGATTGATAAAAAAGTAGATCGCAAAAAGGATCTTGCCGCAGTGCGGGACAAACATTTTGATATTTTTCCTTGATGCCTTTTTTGTTTTGTGGTTTCGTGTTTAACTCGTCTGACGACGAGGCACGTGAGATGCCAGTCGCTTCAAACAACTACTGGCTTCCTGAATCTACTAAAATAATAAATCTCCACGCAAACACGACAACCGAGTGGATGTCACCATATAGTAGAGTTCAAGGGCCAATCGAGCGAGCTCGTGGCTTTGAAAGCCAACAATGTCGCAATGGAAATCTCTCTCAAACTGTCAATGTGGCAGCAAGTGAAAACAATAACAGTCATAATAATAATAATAATAATAACAACAACAACAACAATAGTAATAGTAATAATCATAACGGTAGTGGAGTAGTTATTTTAGAAGGATGTCGAGGACCAAGTACAACTACGGCAAGACGATTTCTAAGGTGGTTCGGTCGAATTGGTCAGCCAGTCATGGGAAAATCAGGTGGGAAATTATTTTTATTTCCCTCGGAAATGTTTTATTTTATTTTTACGGTTTATATCTTTTCTATTTGTGATTGTTATCGATGCGAGAATTTTCTGTTTCTATGAAATATTTTATTTTTTATGATGAATTTATTGATTGTATTAATAAATTATTTAGAAATATTAGATGTTTATCGTAAATGAAGGGAATATTTCCTAATAAGTAGTGAGGATTATGAAGAATATTTCATAAGGGAAATTTGGTCTAAATTACAACTTTAGTGAATTTGGTTGGTGATTGATGATGGTAATTATTAAAAATATCTTTATCATCTCAATATTTTCTAAAACTAGGAATTTATTGGCATTATCATAAAAAAGTGCGTAGTGATGATTAAAATAATTTTTCTACAATGATTTTATAATGACGGAATTTATTTAAAAATAATCATAGATAATATGAGTTTAATCACTCATTTTTACGAATCATTATCATAATAATAGTGTACTATAAAGTTGTCTTCACGTCATGGTAATTTTTGTGACGACTGGAACATGATGACTTCTATTGTAATTTATTTAAATTTACCAAAAATACGTAGAATTTTTATTCTTAAATTCTTTTTATATAAATAGTTGAGTAAATTCCGAAGTTTAACTTTGTTCTTTATGATCCCAATCAATATTAGACTGCGCAAACGCTACGCGTGGTTGATTGTCAGGTGAATGATGAATCATTAATCGTAGGCAAACGTTTTATTCTGTAGACAAAAGTCTCAGAACATCACTACACATTGACATGACTAGTATGTTAACATCTTGGATAACTTGACAATCAATATAACTGTTTGATTTCTTTTATCAATTTCTAATATACCTGAAGGCAATTGGTAATTGATTAATTTCCTATTTTATAACACGTTTTTAGATATAATTATTAGATATTTAGATTCCAAAAAAATAAATCATTTTCTTTAGAATTAAAGAAATTAAATAATCAAGAATAATTTAAAGAAGACTAGAGATTATTCAGCATTTTTTTTTCTTAATATTATAGTCATTTTATGTTAAATTACGGTCTTATCTGTCACCTGACCTAAATTGATGAAACGTAATGAATTTCAATATGAGATAATTTATTTTGCTTTTATTATATTTATCTAACAAATAGAATTTTATTATTCACAAAAAATTAATGATGTAGAATATTTCTTAAGATTATCCCTAAATTATTTGAATATTAAAATTGACAAGTGATTAAAACCAGCTCCGACCTCTTATCTGTAAACCATTTTAATATTTTATTTTTCTCTTATTTATTTATAAAATGGCATTAAACAAATCTTAATATCTTCAATATTTAAATTAATAGATATTTATCTATGGGTCGGAATTCTTTTTGACGAATTTTTTTTAGGACGTAGATCAGTAAAAACTCTTAAACGATAGTTATTTGCTTAATTTAATGTCGCATAATTTATGACATAATCTAGAAATAAAATTTTTTTTTTTTCTTTTTTTGAGATACTAATTTAATGTTTTTAAGTGCCGTTCATAACGGATTGAAGCGACTGTGTAAATTACTAGCGGAACGAGTAATAAATTATTTCTATAAGTCGTGATCTCCATCAGCGAGAGTAACTGGGCTAGAAAAAAGACCTACAATCAGTTCATGTGAACTTGACCAAGGAATATTTAAATTAGGAAACCTACTTGTAACAAAAAATATTTCCACAATAATAGATTCTACAAGAAGACAAGAATAATTGTGTTGATTACAAAAATAAATAGAATCAATAGTAATAATCGTTTTATCACGAGATATTTTTTTTAAAGTTTATTTTCTTATCTGAAATGTTTTATTCTTTGTAAAAATATCGGAGTGATATTTTATTAATAACAACATTTGTAGTGTGATGATAAATTTATAATATTCACTAGATTGGGTGGATTAATAACGAAAAAATAGTTAATCTTTAAGGTTTTATATATAGCACAATAGCATCATAAAAGTTGTCGAGAAGTCAATGATCTTTATGTAATTTTATTATGCTTGATTATCGTTATGTAAAGTCTTAAAAGTTATCTTCATATAGCTGTTACCTAGGAAACAATAATAAAGAGACAAAAGCTCATGTAACATGCTGATGAGACAAGAATAACTTTCTTGTTTTGTTTGAGTCATAAAAAATGGTAGAAATTAGATTTACATAATTTCAATTAATTAATTACTTAATTAACAAAAACCATTCTAGATTACTTTCTAATATTATGTGTATACCGTTGTGGTTGAATATAAATTACAATTGCAGTTAGACTATCAATGCTGGTTACTAATAAAAAAAAATGGAAAGTATTTGAACATGATACAAAAATTTTCTTTCAAACCAATTGATCTAACAGTTGATGAAAATTGTTTGCTCCAATCCTAACGATGGATTATTTTCACTTGGATAAAATAATAAAAATGTTTTATCAACACAATATTTTTATCAAAGTTTTTTTTTTGTTTTGTATTTCTTAGCATTTATCATAAAGTAAACTGTCCATCAAGCAAGAAGAAAATTGAATGACAGCAGCAAAATTATTAAATATTATTCTTAGAAATAAACTGATTATCAAGTATGAATTAATCAATTTCTCGATTAGAATTCTTAGGCTTGATATTTCAAATATCACTACTGCACTATTTATTAATATAATTACAAGATAATAAAACAGTTTTATTAGATACCTTTGATGAAGAGAAAAAAAAAAAGCCATGTGATTTCCAAACAAATTTAATGAATTCATCAGCATCAAAAGTTGACAAAACTTTAGCAATACCTTTCTTAATTTTTTGACGTAATCAGTAGTGGTGGTAAGATTAGTAGTCTTGCATAACTTTTTTAAATTAATTGACCAGCATAAAAAATTATCCAAATACTTACCAGAATAGGAAAAAACCAAATTGACCAACGTCTAAGTCATTCAGATGTTGTGTTAATGATTAACACAAATGAGATACATGACCTTTCCTAGCTTTCAGATAACCAAGAGTCTCGTGGGTCATCATAATAATCAATATAATCACATAATTATTTACGAAGAAATCTATTAAGTAGCAAGTCAAGTCTAGATCTATTTAAAATCATTCAAGTAGTTTGTTAATCGAGTTTTCATCATATTTAGCAGATAGTACCACACCTACGAATGACGTAGATCTCTTATGCTTGTTATATTATGATATGACTAAGAGACAAAGATCGAGTTTATCCACAACCCAAACCTCAACTACTTCACGTATTATATAGGAAAGATATTGGCCTCGAGGTTTATTATATTCTGTGTGGGAAATAGTTGAAGTAAGTATCGAGATATAAAGGAGCTAAGCTTGGAAGTCGCGTACGTCTCCTTGGACCTCATGCAATTCCGTTTACTCTACTTCTCTTACATGTAAAGTTATAGTACCTATAGTTTCTGATATCTAACAATGACAAAACTCAGCTCTATTTCACTATCTCTATCTCTTATTTCTTTTTATTCTCTCTTCATACTTGTATGTTCTACGCCCACTTTCCTGTATATCTGCCTCAAGAAGGATTCTCACATGAAATAAATGCAAATAAAATCAACAATGCTGCAGACGAGAGCTTGTTTTGATTTGACAAGTTTGCAACTGTTTCTGTCGATGCTTTTAACTGGCAATTTAATTATCCTTGGAGTAAGCTATTAATTTACCTGAATGACACTTATCTAATATTTGATTCTTATTAAATAAATCTTGACAGCGTGAATTAGAGGAATTATTTTTGTTCGTTTGGTTTTGTGATTCAATCATCAAATTATACTGGAAAGACTTATCATTTTCTTCTACAAACATTGAACAAATTATTTAATCATAATTCATAAAAAAAAAATATAATCATGATCTTGATGCTAGTAATGTTAGTAATGATGTAATTATTTTCTTTGAATTCGTTCAACAAGTCGGGTGGTCTTGGTTTCTTCTTGAATCTTCTAACATTTAAATTGTTGTTCAACATGTCTACAACCAGTAAGTTTATATGAAAAAATGAAAGTAAAAAAATATTTTTGTTTAAGCATAAAAATAGTATTTTATTAGTATTTATTTTATTTGATAAATGATAAGAGCAAAAATTGTTAGTGAAAATGAAAAGTACTGATGCGGAAATGATTATTTATTATTTTTTTCGGCAAACCATAAAATAGTAGCTATGAGAATAATTTAA